CAATATTAATTTACTAAGTCTTATACAGTATTTATTTAATTACAATGACAGTAAAATTGCAGGAAAGTACTTACCGAATACCCCATAATTGGACGTGGGCTAAGACCAGGCGACACAATGACCTCCAAATTGTTCATGACAGTCTTGGAGAGTGCATTTAAACTGCTGAATTGACCCTAAAAAGGTCTAAACATTGACACCTGAGTAATTTGTGCTTCGCCGACGATGTAGTCCTTATTTCAGATAGTCTTGGAAAGATGAAACTGATGCTGAAGAAATTACAGGAGGTGTAAAAATTGGGCTAAACAAAAGGCTTACTCTTACATTGGCAATATGCGGGAAACTTAGAGATAACTTCAAGAGCGATATAAAAAAGAAATTTTTTCAATCAGTGCATGCTGCCGGTTATAACATACACCTCTGAAACTTTAACATTACTGATCAGGAAGCTGAAAGTACCGCAAAGAAAGATGGAGAGGTCGCTGCTGAGTGTAACCCTGAGGGACCACATACGATATAAAGACCTACTAAATGAAGAAGATCTGGCGTGAATGATGTTGTCAACGTTGTGGTAAAACTGCAATGGAACTGGGTGGGTCCTATAGTACAAATTAAGAATGGGCAGTGGACAAAACGGTTGCTCGAATGGAGCAACAATGGAAACCTATGTCCAACAATGGACGCAATGACATAACATTTAATGCATCTTGACACCTTAAGATCTTCACAGTCGTGTTGCATAAAGGCTTGAACCTGCCATTCAACATTCACAATTAAAACCATAAGGGTCGATCCTGTGGTATAATGTAGAATGTGGCGTAATGACATGCAAAGACATGATAGTCTTAAATGCACAAATTGGGTATCAACATATGCATCTGTTGGTGTAATATATTATTATTATTATATATTTTTTTTTAATATTGAAATTATAACACGTCCTATAAGACTTTTATGATTTGACAAAAAATAATATTCACACCAAACTAACTGATTGTGAGACATGACCTATAAAATAACCTTTAAGCGAAAATTGCATTGCAGGATGCATTTTATTTATAGTGACGAAACTAAATATGCTAACAAACAGACCAATATCTGCAAATCATTCAGTACAATCGATAAAAAAAAATTATTCGAAAAATTTCATAAATGGGTAAATAAATTCATTACAATATCTATCATTCTGACTATAGAAAAAGATGATACTAGGGCAATAATTAATTAATTGATTCAAGCACCCACTTATTATTTACTTGTCACTCACATTTTACTTATGTTCGAAATAAATCAGATAAACGCGATCATTAAACATTTATTTTACAGTGTTTAAATGTTTTTAATATTTTATTTCAATATAATCATAGTAGCTTATCAGTAACGATTTTAAGTTTTTAACTAAAAAAAGGTAATACAAAACACAAGGGTAAGTACCTAGATGATAAGAATGATAATGGTCAAAAATTAACGTTGTTATTCCAGCTTATCAGTAGCAGATCGCAATTTAGTAGTAAGTAAATAATCAAAAGCTAGGAATGGAATTGAATTGGAAGTCTCCAATTTTTTAGTATACGTTGTGCAAATCAAATTGCACGATCTGTAAACATTTCCTTTGTTGTTTTTTACTGCGATACTTATAGTTTGTTTTTTGAGTACCAATGAGAGATAGTAGATAGTGTAACTATTGCTTATTGGTCAATCGATTTGTTTGCCTTTATTAGTATTAGTAAATCATCATATCTTGACTTTTGCACCGTTACATATACAAAAACCACTTGCATATCACACGTTTTGTAAATCACTACACAAAAATACAACTACAAGCACTTTGCAAGCTTACTGAATTTTGAGCATTATGTCAGAATAGGAATAAGGAATGTGATTTAGAAACAAATAGAGAATTGAAGAAGTACGATTGTGATCAGCATCTGCAAGGAAATAAATCATAGAGGTTGCTTGATAATCAATTCATCATTTATTGAGTGATTTTATAGGTAATTACAATAAAATAAAAGAATAGAATCGAAAACAAGGTAATTACATCTTTACCAATCTCCTCGAAGGAAAGTATTGGAAGCTAATTGAAAAACTCTGATCTTTGCTAATAAAAGTAATGAAGATTTGACGAGCATCTCATTTGAATATATTAATACGATTATCGACATCTTAGATAGTTATCCAGTAACAATTATTCAATAACGTTCTATTCATATGCCCAAGTCGTTTTGCATCTAATACCAAAGTTATGGTATCGGATTCTGTGGTATCTACATAGAAGATATCAACATGAAGATGTCAGCTGATATATTTGCAACATATAGAAAGGAAAAGGATATTATGCCGGAATTCCAGCTTTAGTAGGATGCTATCTATCTCAGTGGATGTAAACTAAACACCTTTTCTTGTAAGATCCAAGCCTCCAAGCATCTGCATAGTCTACAAATAAGTTATTATTCTTCGATTTTGTGCTATATCGCAAAGATATGGCTAGGTTCTAGTTAACTCCATTTTTGAACATTAGGATCTATTAGTATTTATATATACCGGTATTGCAAGAGAAGTTTATGAATAAGGTATTAGATTTTTCTTGAAACTTCAAAATAAGATCTGCAACCTTCATTATTAGGAAAACCAAGGAACTACAAAGAAGGCTTCAAAAAGGTTGCTTAGACGCCAAAACGAAATTAAGTGTCGTCTTCCATCAGACCTAAGGATTTGGACTGCTTCGATAGAAAAGAGGAGGAACCTCAAAAAGTTACTCGTTGTGACAAAACTGAAGTTTTGTTGCAGGGTTGTTTGGAAACAAGACTAAAAAAAAAAAGAAATCTACTTAGGTTGATGTCCAACTAGAAGAAGATAAAAATCTTTCTTTACACCACATGTTGTAAAAGTACTAGTGTTAGTAGTCGACATTATGGAATCTTATACCTGACTACAATGAAAACATTATGTATTAAGTAAAAACCTATTTATTCAATAGCTGACATAGGGTCGAAAGATGAGGATCCTACGATCCATAGCAGGCTACACCCTGAGGGACCATAAGAGAAGCAAAGAAATCAGAGATCTCTGCGGTGTCCATGATATAGTCCGATGGTCCCAAACCAGAAAATTGCAAAGGATGAAAAATTAAACAGATTTCTTGGACGCCCGCCCAAAAGGTGATATAAAAGCTGGAATTCATCATGCCAGCCACGTCTCTAGATTATAGAGTACAAGACAAAAGACTTAAAAAGAGATAGAAGAAATTCTTCAATTATGACCAATGATGAAGAAGGGATAGATCGTCATGGCCGGTTTTAGGCTATTAATGTTAATTATGGTTTCTTAGAAATTTTCCATAAAATGGATCAACATATTCAAAGTAATTGAAAATCCTTTGGATATCCTAAGCTCTTTGGGAATTCCTACATTTTTTTGCCTGTTGATTTAAGATGAGGATTTGCCATTACTGCGACTTATGTAAGTTGTTGGTATCAACTTGATTCTATGATACGAAATGTATTTATTAATCTGTCTATTTTTCTGTCACGCAATAATATAGGAGAGCGTAATTAAACTAATCGAGTACAAATAATGTTTCTCACCAAAAATTTTATCTAAATTCCCAATCTTGTTCCTTTTACCTAAAACATTTAACCCCAAACTACAAAAAAAAAACCTAAGCATTAACCACACCCTCAAAACGCCTACTGTCGTGTTTACAAGAGTTTAGGGGTTCTTTGGGTCCCGACTTTGGCATTTATAGCATGGTGTGTTAAAGGCTGGGATTGATGAAAAACCATCTGCCTGTTGCTGAAAATCTAGTTTATAAAATCTGTTAAAAAATAATTTTTTTTGATTTAAAAATGCGGAACTAAACTTCCTCTTTTTTCCTATCGTCATTTATCTTTTTCGAAATCGCATAGGCACAATAGGTGTCTTGGTATACATTTTCTTTTTAAAACCCGAACAATAGGAATTCCCGGAATCGGAAACCTTTAAAAGAAATAATACCAGCACGGTCTTTCTGGTGATGTATTTGAACGTTTGGACGGAGACTCAAACTATTATAAGAGACTGTTGTGGACGAGGAGAAGACAGACGCCAGTCTGCGCGAATCTCAAGACGTCTTTAACATTCCAAACTGTGGCCAACCACGCTCATTGCAATTCAAATCCATCCCATGTCTGCCTTTTAAAATATTGTTTATCACCGTTCACGTCTCTCCTGACTATTTTATCTGCTTACGAAAGTTGAAAGTTAAAATACTTCGCAAAAAAACTTATCTGTTTATCGAATAGATGAGCTTGCTTTTAGTAGATTCCAGTAAATTTTATGCGCAAAAATGTTATCTATCTTATCGCATCAATAAAAAATTATTAAATTAGTTATAAAATAACCAAAAAAGAATATAAATTATAAAATTATATAAAAGTAGAAATTTTTTTTTAATCAACCCCATACTTAACTTTTTTGAGGTTAAGTCAGTTTCGTATTTATAGCTAAGAAGTTTTTTTTTCAATTCTAAATGAAATCTCTTACCTTAAGTCGAACGAAACTCGTTCCTTCAGTTGGGAATCGAACGGGTTGGATGATTCGGCTTCCAAAATATATAAAAACGCACGTTCGTTCGTAAAAACAATTGCTAAGAAACACCCGCGCACAACAACACAGCAGTCGCCTCCTCTAAAAACTGTACACAAGTAAACAAAGATGGATAGATGATGCTTAGCAGATAAGTGAACATGAATGAAATCGACTGGTGGGGATTATTTCTGTTACCTGATTGGTTCATAATTTGTATTTTAAGAATAGATCCAAGCTTTAGTAGTAAACGCATGTTTTTGTTTAAACAAAAGATGGGAAATGGCAGTTTAAAGTGTCAAATTTTCATAGCACACTAAATTTTTTAAACTTAGGACTTATGCGTATTTGCAAGTATATGAAAAAGAATTAGTCCTTAAGGGTTTAATCAAAAATGAAATTTAAATAGGGTGAAACAAAATGTGTTCGCCAAATTCATTCAAAACTTAAAATTAATGTTTATTAAAAATAATTTAATCTCCAATCATATTTTATAAAATAGCATATTGTTCATAAAGTAATTCGCGAACTTTATAATATTCTTCAGAAATACACCCTTCAATTAAAACACGACCAGATTCAATCTAAAAATAAAACAAAATAAATTGATACGGTTTTATTCATTAATTAAAAATTACCCTTCTTATAGCGATTGTCCCATTACAACACCATAAAACACCTCCAGAAAATTCAGAGGTAATGTTTGATTTAGCCAAAACCTGTTTGAACTCAGAAAGTTTTAATTCATTGATGAAAACTGTATCGTGTGGAATATTGTTGTTTAATAAAGGTTCTAATGTCAAAATTTTAGTGCTTTCTTCTTCAACTACAAAAAAAATAAATTAATAAATAAATAAAAAATGAGAATTCAAATCAACCTTCCATTGCCTCTTCTTCATCATCTAAACCGGCTGGTTTTGCATCAACCTGACTCTCCCTGATTAAAATTTGAGCATTAATCCAAGCCAATTCGGCATCTTTACCTTTTTGAAATTCCAATTGGGATACTAATGCATCAGTAAGACGCACCTAAAAAATAAAACAATTTAAAATTTGTATTCCTTTAAAAGTGAAATTAAAAAGTACTTGATAAATATGCGTTTCACTTGTAGCATCGACAGTTTCGCCCCTGGACGGGCTAAAAACGCGGGATTCAACGTTTTCTTTGCAATGTTTTACGAGGGTTTCAGTACTTTCTGGGTCACCTCTTATGACGATTACTCGACGCGGTCTTAATTGTGATAAAATTTTCAATAAAGATTCACCGTCTGAACGACCTTCGAAATCAATGTATTGTACTTGGGCATTTACTTGTACAGTTCGATGTAAAACTATACATTTTGTTGGAGCTTCTGTTGTTTCACCTAAAAAATGTTATTATAACAAATACGAAACGGTTATTGTATGCAAAATCCTTATTCGTACACCATTCGAAAAATTACCAAAAAACCATATTCATACAGTCCGCGGGATTGTATTTTTATGTAGATAACTGCTATGCAACAAGATTTTTAACAGTTTTTTTTTAAACTTCAAAGTCGAAAAAAGGGCTAAACCCGAATGTTTCTAATTGTAGTTTTAGTTGTTATTCAGTGCAAGATTGTTGTAAATTTTTATTGAACTCTAGACCTGGAACTAGAAACATTCGGGTTTAGCTGTCTTAAGAGACATGCAGCTAAACCCCAATGTTTCTAGTTCCAGGTCTAGTTTTAGTTCTAATGCTGCTATTAGTTCTTGTTTTAGTTGTTATTCAGTGTTAGATTGTTGTATATTTTTCATTAAACTAAAAGTAGTACTAATACAGAAGGCAATGGTGCGGATAGCTGTTCAAATTTGTGCGCATTCAAATTATTCCTTCAAAAAGTTTAAGTTGTAGATTAAAACTTTTTCATCAAGATTTTACTATATTAATGTTATTCTAAATGTATAATTTTTCAATTTTATTGAAATTTATACTGTATGAATACAGTTTCTATCGTCAACTATGATTAAAATGCCCTTTTTTAAAAAATCATCAAAAATATTAATTAATAAATCGTGATTTTCTAATTTTACGTTATTTGTACAAATACTTATTTTGCATACTATACATTTAATTACATATATGATCCTCCTCTTTTTTAACAACAATGTTTTCTTTGTTATCTTCTGGCTCAATTACAGCATCAGCTAATTTATAATCTTCCGGTTTAATAATTTCACCATATTCATCACTTTTTATTTTTTCTTCTTTAAAAGGAAACATAGGATGTTGTTTTTTGGTTGCTTTAAAAAATCCGCCATGTATTTTCCCTTCCTGTTTAATAACAATGTCATGACGACCTTTAGAAATGATACTCATTTCAATATCATCATCAGAATCGGAATCTATATCTTCCCCTTTAAAAGTAATGCTTTGTTGCTTTTCTTTTTGCCTCTTTTCGTATTCCTCCAATTCAGCCCCTTCTAATTTAATCCTTTTTTTTACATCTAAATCAATAGTTCTCCCACCGCCATTATCGACTAAATCTCGTGCTAAGGTTCCTGGAGATGTTCTAGTTGTGATTATGATGCTGTTGTTTGCGTTTGAACACCATTGGAGGAATAATTCTCGACTAAATCCACTTTCCATATCTGCTGAACTTGCTAAGACCACTTTGGGATTGGAAACTTTTGCTAATTCTTGTAAACTGTGGCATAATTGTAAATGTTTAAATTGAAACGGATTGTTCCTGGCTCCTTCGAAACTTTTCATTAGTTTATCACTCATCCATTCAATCTGGGATTTTGCAAATTCAACAACGTTATAGCTAACATTATTTAATAAAGCCAAAGAATACGCTAATAAACCAGAATCTTTATTTCTCCAAAGTTGATCTAGCATATGAGCTAATTCTAAAACTCTCCCTGCGGTATCGACGGCTATTAAAACATTTCCGTTATTACGCAAAGTTTGAAGAATATTTGCTAAAAAAAAGTAATAAACTTAAAAATTTAGGAAAAAATCAAGAATCGTCATGTGGCTTAAAAATCGACGATTTAGTCAATGTGAAATGATCCAAAAAAATCAAAACATATTAAAAATAAAAAAAAGTGCGGAAAAGTGTAGAACATATTGAGAATCATTCGGGTTTAGCCACACGTCTGTCAAGACGGCTAAACCCGAATGATTCCAGTTCTAGGTCGAGTGTTAGCGACGTGGATCTAGTTTCTAAAAACGCCTAAACCCGAATGATTCTACTGCTAAATCTTGTGTTAGTTCCAGTAATAGTGCTGGTGTAAAACTAGAACTAACACTAGACCTAGAACTAGAAAGTATCAGATTTAGCCATGCGTCTTCAGACCTAACTCAATGTGGAATTTCTACACAAAATTCTGAAATAAATCACTAAATTAGGTGGATTGGAATGTAACGTTTAAAGAGGCGGGTAGGGCATCAGGTATAGATTTTATATTATCTTTAGTTTATAGATGGTAAACAACGACATTTTAGGCATTGTGCGTCGAAAACCCAAGAAACAACTGTATTTCACCCGAAAATATGCGTTTTAACCAAACGTGTTACGAAAATACGCAAATAATAATAATAATAATGTACAGGGTGGGCAAATTTGGGTGTTATTATAGGCTATCTTAGAAACTATAAGATATACGAAAAAAGTAGGTGCCATGTCCCGGTCTCTTTTTTTGAGACTAATCCAATCCCGCAAACACCAAACCTCTATCTTCTTTTGTTTTTAAGTTATAGCCAAAAAGTCAAATTTTCGTGATTTCAAAAAATGCTCATATTTCGTTTATTTTTCAAATTAGAGAAATGGGGTTGATACGTTCTTAAGACACTTTTTTAAGTAGAATATACTGCCGTTGAAAAATTTTAAACATACTTGATGATTTTTGAGATACAACATAAAGTTGTGTTTTTTTAAACACAAACTATATTTGATTATGATGTTACTGAAAAGAGCATACTTTTAGCTTTCCAATGATGTATCCCATGTATGGTGTATTTGCAGAAAATAAGCATTAATTTTCAATTGTAAAATAGTAACCGCCATGGTTCAAAATTTTGATTATAGTAGGCGAGTCCGGACAATAAATACTACATAGTGGCTATAATAGGTTTGTTCCAACCAGCGGCTTGACTCGTCACATGCAATCGCACAGTTAAATAATGCAATGAAATCCGCTGAAATGTGACGACATTACTTGACGTGTGCGATTGCATTTGACGAGTAACGGACGAGTCCGACCACTTGTTGGAACAAACCTAATATATGGTTTTGCACGAATATGACAGAATAAAGTTGGTTTTGTACCAAGGAATAAAAACTTTGAATAGTTAATTTAAATTTCTCAGCGTCTTATCCCTGACTTTGTTCACCAATAAAAAATGGTTAGCAAGTAAAGTCTGTTTATTAAAAATACAAGAAATGTATTAATTAATGAATAATTAAATATGGGCAACTTCAGGAACTAAACAGTCACAAACTGTCATCTTCTTCTACTAAACTTACTGGTTGTAAGGTTAGAACAGTTCGGAATCAATTAATGAAATCTTCGGTAGTATTTTCCCAGTTTTTCCCAAACATAAGGTTTAGAAGTTTTTTGATATCAGCAATATTTTCTTTTGAAATTGGGTGAGATAGAGGAAAATTAGGGATCATAAACTGAATAAAAAAAATTCATGAATGAAATGACAAGTAAACTCACGTTGCTATAGTAACTAAGTAGCATTTAGCGTTTTCCTCGCCTACTNTAGAAGTTTTTTGATATCAGCAATATTTTCTTTTGAAATTGGGTGAGATAGAGGAAAATTAGGGATCATAAACTGAATAAAAAAAATTCATGAATGAAATGACAAGTAAACTCACGTTGCTATAGTAACTAAGTAGCATTTAGCGTTTTCCTCGCCTACTGTAATCAAAAATTTTAATGTTTAATATTTTAGAATTGAAAAATAACGCCTATTTTCTGCAGATACATCATGCGTGCGATACGTCATTGGAAAGCTAAAAAGATGCTCTTTTCAATAACATCATAATCAACTATAGTTTGTATTTAAAAAAATACAACTTTATGTTATATCTCAAAAATTATCAGCTATGTTCAAAATTTTTCAATGAGAGTATATTCTACTCAAAAAGGTACCTGTAGAATGTTTTAACCCCATTTCTCTAATTTCAAAAATAAACGAAATATGAGCATTTTTTGAAATCGCTTAAATTTGACTTTTCGGCTATAACTTAAAAACAAAAGAAGATAGAGATTTGGTCTTTGTGGGATTGGATTAGTCTCGGAAAAAGAGACCGAAACATGGCACCTACTTTTTTCGTATCTCTTATAGTGTCTGAGATAGCCTATAATAACACTCAAATTTGCCCACCCTGTACAGGTGTCCAAATTTCGATGGGTTTGCAGAGTATCTCAGTTATTATGAAAGATAGAAAGTTGCGGCTTTCGCGAATCTGAGCTACTTTTTTGTGAAACTTACAATGGCGCAAACCAAATTTTCATAGCCCTCTTCGTTTTTGATATACAGGGAGTGTTTGAAATTTACGATTTTCAGACACCTCCTGTATCTCGGCTATCCGGAAACTTAGTAAAAAAGTAAAAACGGGTTCTAATAGATTTTTTCACGTGGAATCCAATGGTGCACGTAGAATTTTTCTAGTCATCACGGTTTTTGAGTTATAAACACAACTCAAATACTGAATACTCAACTTCTAAAATACTTAACTCTTTATAACTCAAAAACCGTGATGACTAGAAAAATTCTACGTGCACCATTGGATTCTACGTGAAAAAATCTATTAGAACCCGTTTTTACGTTTCCGGATAGCCGAGATACAGGAGGTGTCTGAAAATCGTAAATTTTGAAACACTCCCTGTATATCAAAAACGAAGAGGGCTATGAAAATTTGGTTTGCGCCATTGTAAGTTTCACAAAAAAGTAGCTCAGGTTCGCGAAAGCCGCAACTTTCTATCTTTCATAATAACTGAGATACCCTGCAAACCCATCGAAATTTGGACACCTGTACAGTGTTTTAATTAATTATCGTACCCAACCTCATCATTGAAAGTATGCAACCAATATCACAGTATTGGTATTGCAATAGGCAAATCGTGTATTATAAAATAAATACTGTAATATTGGTTGCATATATTGTATGTATAGGGTTAGCATGGTCGATGACGTCACAAAAAGTGACGTCACGTCGAAACTTTAAAGTGATTTTTTGTTAAGTTTAACACTTTTCCGCCCTTTTTTTTATTTGTAATGGCTTACTTGAGCGATTTCCTGTCGATTAAAAAAAAATTGTCGATTTTTAAGCGACATGATGATTCTTGATTTATACCAAAATTTAATTATTATTAATTGATTTATTTACTCATTAATTTTTCATCCCTAGTTCTTCTTCTAGCTTGTTGATAACTAGCATTAAAAGCATCTGTTATCAATAAAGAAGGTCGAAGTAATTTTTCCATTTCACAGCCGTTTAAATGTCTTTCCTTTTTATGATTAAAATCATTTGCATAAATTATATCTTCTTCCCCAACTTTCATAATTTTCCAAATTGTGCCTCCAATCATGTGTCCTGCAGGAAGAGGAGTAATTGTCAACCCATAACCTTTCCCTTTCATCGAAACGCTTTGATTATATTTTAATTGTACGATTTTGTCGAAAGCCGCATCAACATCGTCTAAAGTAAACAATTCAAAATCATCCATGTTATGATGGGATTGGTACAAATCGTACATAAACATTTGTCCCATTTTATAAACTGGTATTGTGGCATAAATAGGACAATTTAAACCTAACTTTCCAACTAGATAAGGTAAAGCCCCTAAATGGGAAACATCTGGGTAAGAAATTAGAACTGCGTCAATTAAGTGAATGTGCCTAAAAAAATCATTTTAAAAAGATATCATAAAAATGTTTAAAGTATAACTAACCTTTTTATTTCTTTTATAACTTCGAAATCAAATTTCTCGTCCCAACCGCAATCTAAAAGTATTCTTACTTCGTCCACTTGTAGGATGTAACAAGGCGGAGACTCGTCTTTAGCCCCAGAAAGGGCTGTTAATTTTATAATAGAAGTCATGGTTTAAATGTTGAGGTTATGTTTTTTTAGATGCTTAAAATTAACCGCGAGAAGTTTAGATTGTTATTGTAACTATTTCATCAATGTTTTAATGTTACTTAATTAAGAATATAATGATTTTTGTAAGAAATAAACCTCTTCTTTTAAAAAATAAGAGATTAAAACGATTTTTCTTAAATTTTTAGGTTGTTGTTGCCACCTTGTTGAGTTTTGTTTGTTTGCAGAGGGCGCTAATCGATTTAAATTAATGGATAGCTAAGGTTGGTATCGCTTTTAGAGTAGAGATGGCGCAGTTAATTTAAAATTTTTTGAATTAATACCGATTGTCCGGAAAATGCGTCTATATATTTAAAGAGGTGATTCTACATCAAAACTCATAAAGAAAAGTTTATATAATGTTCGGTCCGAAAATGCTTCCTAAGGGCGCCAGAGCCGTTTAAAGATGGCCCTCAAAAAGCGTTGTCTCAAAAACGGCAAGGTTTAGAATGCCGAAATTTGGTGTACAGGGATATTTTTATGTGACAAATATGATAATCAGTTCGGCAAGAAGTTCAAAAAGGTTTTTCATCGGTGGATAAAACGTTGCCATATAGCTTATATAACTTCTTCCAGAGAATGCGTATTTAGGATGATTGCTACTTTAAATAAATAGACAGTATTAGCATTAATAGGTGTTTTCTCACCTATTTCAGAACTAAATAAACGAAGAAAATTTATAAAAGTGTTTTGCTTTTAAAGCAGAGATGGAAAAGTTAGTGTTAAAGATTTAAATTTGTTTGATAATTAAATCTATTTTAGGTACTTTCAACAAGGCAATGTATCTTATCTGTAAGATCGAAAACGTAAGATATAACCCTGTATTATAACAGCAAATTCGACAAATATAGATTATTAAATACTTCTGTATTTCAAGATGAGGTCCTTCTTGGTGCTTTTTGCACTCATCTCTATGGTTTTAGTAAGTTTTATTTTTACGAGATTTTGTAATTTTTTAATTTTATGGATATTTTTTAGGCCGACCATATTGATTGGTCCAAAGTTACTATTAATGAACCAAGAATACCACTTCCTTCTAACCTAGAACAACACCTTGCCAAACCACGGATCGTAGGAGGAGAAGAAGCTGTTCCCAACTCTCTTCCATACCAAGTAAAAGAAATATTACGATATATTTGTGAAGTACATTTCATTAATTTTATTAGGTTGGCCTCCTTGTCACCTTTGATGAAGGTACCTACTTTTGTGGCGGATCTTTAATTTCACCTCGTCATGTTCTAACTGCTGCTCATTGTACTGAAAGTCTTCTATCTCGGTAAACTGTTCTCTATTCTTTTACAATAATTACTAATTAAATTTTTTGTAGACCTCTCGAAATTGAAGTACGTTTGGGGGCTCATAGAATCCAAGAAACGGGTGGCCAAGTCATCATGCGTACCACCAGCTACATAACTCATCCTGATTGGCTTCCATCACTTCTCCGTAGCGATATTGCCATTGTAAACCTTCCATCTACCGTCACTTTGACCGATAATATTCAACCTGTACGTCTCCCGAGTCGATCTGACATTGGAAACGATATCGTTGGTACTACTGCAAGAATTTCCGGCTGGGGATTGACCAGTGATAGTTCCACTACGATTAGCCCAACTCTCCGAGAAGCTTCAGTTGATGTTATGTCTATTGCGGCTTGCAGATTCGCTATGAGATGGTGGGAAATCGCCATAATCGCAGAGTCCCATTTGTGTACTTCCGGGGATGGAGGAAGAGGAATTTGTAGCGGAGACAGCGGTGGTCCAGTTGTTTCTAACGATAGATTGATTGGTGTAGCTGCTTTTGGTCTTGTTAATGGTTGCGAACTTGGATTGCCATCTATACACACTCGTGTTAGTACCTTTTTGGACTGGATCGAAGCTAATTCTGATGTTAGTATTGATTAAATAAAGTAAAGTTTTGTAAAGATTGTGTTCATGTATCGAAATCGTACAATTTGAAATTGCACACAATAAATAATTCTTTTTATGAATACGAATTAGAACTGTTTTTATTTAATAGTAACAACCGTTGTAACGTACTAATGATGTCCTGTTCAGCTTGAATCCACAGTGTAGCTCGAAACTTTTTGTTTTTTTTGTTTTTTGTTTCAATGGGCATTTCTGTTCAGCCTATACTTTTCTGCTAATTCCGAAACCATTAACAAATTGGCAGCATAAAACAAGTGGATAGAATGAGAATTAGAATGTGATGGGTTTTTAATATCTTGTCATCAATGTTACGAGAAGCTGGAACTCCCTAGAAAAAGTTAGAGCTCAAACAACGAAAGGAGCTTTGATGTCAGATTACCTAAGGGATATAATATTGCAAAATATGTGTATGTTAAGTGTAAATGACAAGAGCAGAAAATGCTGCTACAAAAAGAATCATCAGAACAGCGGAGATGATGACGCTCAGGTCATTAACAGGATACACTTGTGGCACCATAAAAAAAGTGAGAATATCAGAGTGAGGGAGAAGGAGTGATAGGATAAGTTGTATTCGGTGGTATTAAAGCTGTAGCTCAATATTTTGGGATAGCCTATAAGAAATAAAGAAACAGGACAGATTTCCTAAAGAATTTGAAATATGTGTGTGTAATTTAGAATTCTCACACAGTTAAGCTTTTTTCAGGTTATTTGTTTATTCTCTGAATGCTGCAGATCTCTAAACAGTAAAGTCGTGATTACACTTGCCTTATAGTTCAGTGCCTTGCATCTCATAGTGTGTGGGCGTTTTGGTTTTGGTGTGATCCGTTGCCATTTTTAGATGAAACTGCTGTGAGTTGATTCTGTAGTCTCTTGTGCATGAGAATAGTGTGTTTCTAAATTCCCTCAACGAAACGGTGGGATTATTTTTGGATTCACTGAAGTCAGAAGATGAGTCTGAATGATGACACAGCCGAAGGAGTAAAAGTCTTTACAAGAATAACTTTAGAGTCGAACAGATTTATCCTATAAACCACTCTATATGTCATTTACTGTCAAAGTTCTTATCCACACCCTATTGATAACTTCTCCGAAATTATTCGTCCTAAAGAGTCTGGTTTTACAACTCATGGGTTGTATTCTTTGGAAAGCAATATAACGTGATGTTTATCAGCAACACTTGCGATCTTGACATCTCGGTGAGATGATGCTCTATCAAATATTAGCACTACTTTTTCGGCTACTTCATTCAGTCATCTACTCCATCAAGTGGCTAAGGTATCTGATGAAAATAGCAGTTGTATGACAATCTCTCCTGCTCATGGCAGTCTCTGTGATATGTAGCATATATTTTATCCATTCTGGCTTCAAACGCAGGGCTTTATAGATAACCATGGGTGAAATAGCAATACCAATACCATCTCTCCTTGCTATAACAGCTTGCTGATGATGACCTGTGGATCAAAAAATGGACATTTGGCTATAACGAACACTCCTTTCCCTGTATTAATATAACGGATTAATCGAGGTTGTACTGTATATTATTTGTATAAAAGAAATGTATCATGTATACATCATTATATTAAGCCATCATTGTTAAAAAAACATTCTAAAACTCATACATTAGGTGCTCATACACTCGTACATTAGGTTGTATATCAGTATAATGGTAGAATACCTTCTATATCCGTAGATCTATCGATAAATCAAATTGCAATTACAGATTTCTGTATTTAAAGATTTTATTTCGATTTCTTGAAGTATAGATGGGGTACATAAACAATTATAAAAAAAAATAATTTTAAAATAGCAGGTGGAAGATGGAAAGTGTGTATTAAATATATTTTAATTTTTAATGACCTTGAATGCAAATGGAAATTAAAATTGACACTGTAATTCTAAACCATGAAAACCCAAACCAACCCAATCCAACCCAAGTGGACATAGGAAGACTTTTTTTTACAAATTTATTGCATAAATTTACTTTAATCACTATTATTTACAAAAAAAAATATTTTAAATTGAAGTACGTAATGTTTATTGCAGTCCAATTTACAAAGATGTTAGGATATCTTTAGTATAAACGAAAATTTCACAATTACATTGATATTCACGGGGATTTTTTTTATTGGAAATCATTAGGATAAGATAATTTTAAAATAAATCCACTTAAACGTCCTTCATACAGAGATCATGAAAGCAGAGTGATAACCAAGTAATTGACAATTACAAAGGAGAAAAAAATAATCATAACAATCAAGTTGAAATAAAACAATGTTGATCGTTGGGTAATCTATTTTAGCTCAATACTTCTTGTCTAAATCTTTCATCACATATCCAAAACGAAATTGAGATGAATCTTATCTGTAAAAAAAAAAATAAACGTAAACGTAAGGGAAAAAGACTACGTCACGAAGGTGGTATAAATATGTCGTACGAATCACTGTCGCCGAATACATTCCAAAATGAAGCTGATTTTGGTGTTTCTTGCTCTTGCCTCAGTGGCACTCGTAAGTGCTTATAATTAGAAAGATTATTCCTGATCTATTTTATTATTAATGTTTTAATTTTTAGGCCGACGATGTCGACTGGTCAAAAGTTTTTATTAGAGAACCAAGAATTCCACTTCCCTTCGATCTTGACGAAGTTATTTTCGAACCAAAGATTGTAGGAGGAATTGAAGCAACTCCCCACTCCATTCCATTCCAAGTAAAGAAAAATTAACTATTACAAAAAAAGATTGAAATTAAATATCTTGTTTTAATGTTTAGGTTGGTCTGCTTATCACCGTTGCTGCCGGAACTGGTTTCTGTGGCGGATCTTTAATCACCCCTCGTGAAGTCTTAACAGCTGCTCATTGTGTTGATGGGTAAATAAATAGCAGTTTTCATAAAATTCGTTTTAATTTATTTTTCAATTTTTTATAGTGGTTCTCAAATTGAAGTACGTTTAGGAGCTCACAGAATCCAAGAAACAGCCGGTTTAACCATCATGCGTACCACCAACTGGAGAATGCATCCAGGTTGGGATGCATCCCTTATTCGTAACGATGTCGCAATCATCACTCTTCCATCTGCCGTTACCTTAACTAACAACATCCAAGTTGTCACTCTTCCACGTCGTGCTGATGTTGGAAACAGTTTCAGTGGTGTAAACGCTAGGATTTCCGGTTGGGGATTAGATAGCGACGGTTCCAACGCTATCAGTCCAGTTCTCCGACAAGTCCATGTTAACGTAATGACCAACTTGGCCTGCAACATCAGATTCTTAGGTATCATTCAAAACACTCATTTGTGTACTTCCGGTGATGCAGGCAGAGGAGCTTGCAGTGGAGACAGTGGTGGCCCAGTTATGGGTAACAACATCCAAATCGGTCTCGTATCTTTCGGCCTTGCCATTGGTTGTGAACGCGGATGGCCATCTGTACATACTCGTATTACCAGTTTCTTGGACTGGATCGATGCTAATTCTGATGTACAACTTACATAATTATAAATTTGGATTTTTGATGTCACTTATAAATAAAAAATTATACTTAAATCGTGTTGTTTCATTGAAATTTTGATAGTAATTAAAATTTTTGTGATCTTGATTTAGATTTTTAAAATTTTATTTTTTTCTATTGTATTTGACGAGTATTTTCAATTTTTTTATTGCAATTTCTCGTATCCCAACCACCAGCAGTCCTTATCATTCAATCATCTTCATTCAGTCCTCTCCTCTTCATCTCCACATTGATGTCTTGGATCCATTTTTCCGAGGCCTATCTCTTTTGTTTCTTTCTGCTAGCACCCAGTTCCAAACCTTAAGTGGGATTCTCTCTTTACTCATTCGATGTCCATCAGATGTTCATACCATTTTAGTTGCTTTTCATTTATAGTGCATAGTTATGTCACATCATCTTTTCCAAACCATAATTTCTGCTGCTAGCAGTCTTCGAGTTGTGTCTTTGTCTCTCACCCACACTTCTGACCCGTACGTCATTAATGGTTCTATAATGGCCCTAAAAATATTTTCTTTGTTTGTATCGTTAGGTTACTATTTAACAAAATCGAATGCATTGCTTATTCTCAAAAAAAATTTTTTACTAATCAAATATTTATAGTCAGGTGACAAACTGTGTTACATAAAATATTAATCGAGAATTTGCTAAGAGGTTCATAAATATTAAACCAACTTTAAAACTTCAAATAACAAGTTACGAACTTAATAAGTACTAGAATTAAAAGGTATAATAACCAGAATCGCTCGCGGTCAATTCTCATAAAGCATAAAGACGTCATTATGGGTAAGAAAAAAGATGTGGATGAAACAACCATTTCGGTTAAAAATTATTTAAGATATCATTACGTTTTATTGCAAATATTTGGCATTTGGATTGACGAACCAAAAATATTTAGCGTAAAAAGAATGTTGTACAACATCTACGCGATTACGATCATGATGCTCTTTTTCATTTTATATCCGATATCAGAAATAATTTATCTTTACAAAAAATTTACAGATATTTATGATTCTGCATTTCAACTTACTTATCTTTTGAGCCACATTCTCGGTAACTAAAATAACATTTATTTTATTAATTTTAATTCAAACATTTTCTTTTAGGTTTTTGCAAAATGGGATTAATCTTCATTTTCAGAGATGATATTGACAAGTATCGAATATTTCTTCAATCCGGTGTTTTTGCACCAGATGTGAAAAGAGGTGGACCGATTGAATTAAAATATGTTAAAGGTGCGATAAAATCCAATTACAGACAAGCAACGTTCTTTCTAAGTTTTCTATGTCCGATGGTTTTAATGTACTTCTTCAACCAAATTTTTAACCAAGGAATTGGTATTGAAGAATATTTCGATCCGATTTTGAACGAAACAAACACTCGAGAAATCCGCTTAAAACCTTATAAAACTTGGTTCCCAATCGAATCTAATGAAACACCTTACTACGAACTTATGTGTTTGTACCAAGTCAGTGCAAACATGTCTTATGGATTTACAATCGGTGCAAGCGATGCTTTAATTTGTGGAATTTTATGTCATATTAAAGCGCAACTTTTAATTTTGATTAATTCTTTAAAAACTTATATGAATCGAATGGAAATATTAATGGTTAATAAGAAAATATTTGTATCGGTTAAATATTTATGTTAATATTTTCTTTAATTAGAGAGAAGACGGTCTTACTGATAATTTGGATAAATATCGCGAATTTAATACAAATTTTAAAAATGGTATTGAACAGGTTGAATTATATCCGAAACATATTCAGAAATATGCCGATCGTTGCTTTAGAGATTGTGTCAATCATCATCAACAAATAATTGAATTGGCTAATGGCACCGAGGAAACTTTTAATTATTTAATGTTGATCCAATTTGGGGGAAGTCTTTTATTAATTTGTTTTCAATTATTTCAACTTTCTGTTGTGCGTAATTTTTTATGATCAGTTCACATTATTTCAGTATCTAAGTTTAAGAATTATCTATAATTTTCTAATATTAAGCTAGGCAATTTTTTCTTTAGCCTTGAGTGATAAGATGCATGGTTAAGGATTACTAAACATGCCGTATCTAAATTAGTGTGTGCGTTATTAGTTATTAGACATCATCAGTTATGACATGTGTTTCCATAGTAGCTCGTTTCAATCGAAAGAATTGTACTTTAGATTAAGAATTGTTTCCACTTATAGGATATAACGGATCTTGTATAAAGTATATTACATGAAGAGCCATTTATAGCCATTGGACGTTTTCTGTAGAGCACGAAATGGCAACACTTTTGAACTTTTGACAACAGACAAGTCTGTACCAAACCGGCAGGTTTCTGATTGCTATATAACTTTATTGGCAGTCAGCTATTAAGTCTGTAGGAACTTACTTTTTCCAGGGTTGCTCCAGATTGTGGTATTACGATGATTGTTGTTCCTTTTCATTAAAAAAGGAAAAGTTTTTAATTAAATCTTACATGCAAGTTATCCATTTCATTGCTTTATGTAATAAATTAAGAAGAATCTTTGCTGTTATAAGGTCATAATGTTAATTCTCAAACTACCCCAACAGTCGTAATATTTTGAAAATTGTAACAATATAAGTACACATTATTACTTATGATTTTTTGACACCAGTATTTAGTCCTCTGTAAGCAGTACGTAATTTACTACAAACAATATCTAGTTTTCTGCAAACGGTATCTACACCTAGCAGTTACTTCTTTTCCATTAGCAGTATCTGGTTTCCTGTCAGCAACATCTAGTCCCCTGCAAGCAACAAGTAGCCTACTGCAAGAAGTATCTAGTCTTCTGCAGACAGTATCTAGTTATAGCAGACTCTTCTTTTCTATTAGTACTACCTAATTTCCTGTCACCAGTATTTAGTCCTCTGCTAGTAAATGCTACTAGATAGCATCATTGCCTTGGGTAACTACTTGGAGGTGGAGCATATGGCATGTTACTTGAAATAATTGCTTGATACTTTTAAATTTGTATTTTGGAATAATGTGAACTGAAAATAAAGTATTCCCTATATTAACAAATATTGCAGTTGAAATTTTTTTTTAGAGCGAGATAAGTTCATTTGATTCAATAAGCATGATCGTCTATTTAGTATTAGCTATGTACCAAGTTTTTATTTTTTGCTGGCACGGAAATGAAATTTTCTTAATAAGCGATAGTTTGCCTCAGATGGTTTATGAATCAAATTGGTTGGTGACGAGCCTATCTACAAGAAAATCGTTGGCAATTATGATGACACGAGCGTATAGGCCAATAAAATTGACGGCTGGAAAATTTGCATTCTTATCTTTGGAAACTTTTGTAACTGTATTATTCCTTCCTTTTTTTTAAAGCTTACATAAATACATTGAATTTGTTTAATTTTTTCTAGATTATTCGAGGTGCCGGTTCGTATTTTATGGTTTTGAGGAACATGAATGAGGAAATGGCACAGTAAAAAAAATATAGCAATCACCTTCGGCACATTTTTTTAGAAAACACCTTTAATAATAATTTAAGTAAAAGACAAGATTAACAATAATTATCTAATCGTCCTCGCACATTTTTATTAAAACAATGATCGATAGCAATTTGAAAAAAGAAATAATCAAACATCTAAGATTCACTCTTTCGATAAAAATTTACCAATGTCCAACTTAAGTACCCATGCCGTCATTATATAAGATGTAAACGTTTCGTTTTTGCGCAGTTTTAAAAATGAAGTACTCGTTGATTATTTTAGCTTTAACTTCTTTGGCTTACGTAAGCTATCATTAAATAATTTAAGATCTGTTAAAATAATAATTATTTTGTTATATCCATTTAGGCCGAATTCGAAGGAGACGTCGATTTCAGACAGCTCAAAATTCGACAACCTAAAAGAAAGCTCGATGGAAAAATTGAAATTAATGAGAGAATTGTTGGTGGTTCGGTCGTTCCAGCTAACTCAATTCCGTATCAAGCTGCTTTGATAGTTACTGCTCAAACTGGTACTTATTTATGTGGTGGTGCTTTGATTTCTCCAACTAATGTTTTAACAGCTGCACATTGTCTTGCTGGGTAATTTATTTGCGTTATAACAATTGAAGAAATTATTTATTTATTATTTTTTTAGTGCAAGCCAAGTTCAAGTTCGTTTAGGTGCTCACTTTTGGAACATCAACGAAGCTACTCAACAAAGATTCATAACCACGAATTTTATCGTTCACGCCGGATACGATGATGAGTTAGTTATAAATGATCTTGCAATGATAACACTTCCAACTGCTGCTATTTTAAATGGTAAAATATTACAAAACAAACCAAATTTTTTTCTAATTCACTTTATTATACAGATTATGTCCAATTGGCAACTTTACCAAGTTATTCTGACATTGGTTATAGTTTTGTTGGTTATTGGGGGAGAGTGAGTGGTTGGGGAGTTATTTCCGATGCCACCCAACAAGGCAGTGAAAATTTACGTTCTGTGGAAACCGAAATTATCACCAACTTAGCTTGTAACATCAGTTTCTTAGGTGGTATTGTAGCAACACATATTTGCACATCAGGATTTGAAGGACTTGGTGCTTGTAGCGGAGATGGTGGTGGCCCTCTTGTCGTCGGAAACAAACTCGTAGGAATCGTTTCATTCGCTTTAGAACTTGGATGCGAAGCTGGATGGCCAACAGTTTACAGTCGTTTAACCACTTTCTTGGATTGGATTGCCGATCATAGCGATGCTAACATTTATCCTTAATAATTTATTTTGTTGTAACAGCAAAAGCAAAAAGAATATTAAATAAATAGATTTTTAAGAAATGTTATTTTGTTATTGTAACCACCGTATTACAGATTTAAATCTAATACTTTCACTATCAATTAGATAAACCGTCATTTTCAATAATTTTCTTCTGCCTTGCTGAGTTCTATATGGTTTCTTTCTGTTTTTTTAGTTACTTTGGTAAAGTTCTTTTGGCATCTTTTTGATTTCTTAAGTACTTATACTAGAAAGAAGGCAAAACGAAAACAAAAAAGCTAAGAAAGAAAGCTAGAGAAAGTCAAATTTTTCTCAAACATTTTTTTAGCTTCTTTTTTATTTATTTTGCAATTGTCTTAACATTTATCTAAGGGTTTGAAATCCGCACGTAGGAATATAAGATTTACGAAAAAGTATAAAAAGGACCTAAATATTTAGAATTTTGTCTGACTGATTTCTTTGTAATGACTCCACAGTTAGATAGAGGGCAGAAATAAGTCACAATTAATGCCGGAGAATGTCTCGCTTGTCTTTGACATTAATTGCCTTCTTTCTTCTTTGTTTAAAATATTAGTTCAGATATGCCAAAAATTAGGTGGCTTCCCTTACTTTCCAGGAATGAGGTATTAAGTCTTTCTATTGTTTTCTACTTTGCATTTCTTTTTTAACCATTTTGGCTTACTGAAAAATATCAGTTAAAAAGTTTGTTAATATAAAGCAAAAGGGCAACAGGCTTTTGTAGCTTATTAAGGGAATAATGGATATTTTAACTGACTTTTCGATTTTCTTTTTGCATCAATCCAACCTAATCCAATCTAACCCAACCCAACCCAACCATGGTATTGCTAGTGGTAAACCCAGGAACAAATCTATTGACAAGATTAAACAGAAAACTACAAACATATTTTAGAGTCTAGAAACTAATCCAACCCAACCCATCCCAACGCTTCCTACAACTTTTGTTTTTTAGTAGAGAAGAACAGAAACCTGAAATGGTTCTTCTGTGCATTAAAAATAATTGAAATTTAATTTATTATCTTTCTTCTTCTTCTTCTTTCTTCTGTATTTAGGCATAACTGCCTGTTTTTCTTCACTATTTGCCCCCTAATCGTTTGGAAGGTTGTCGTTCCATCTTTTTCTAGGTCTTCCAATGCTTCTTCGCCCTGATGGTGATTTGTCCCGTGTTATTTTCACAATTCGGTTTTCTGTCATTCGGGCGATGTGCTCATTCCATTTCTTCTTTCTGTCCAATACTCAATCATTGATGTCATCTATCCTGCAAGCCTGTCTGATGTTCTCATTTCTTTCTCTGTCCATCAATGTTTTCCCAACTATTCTACACACTATTTTCATTTCTGTAGTTTCTATCATTCTTTTTGTTCTGGATGTTTCTGGTCGAGTCTCTGTATATCCAGGCTTTGGTTTTTATTATTTTTAAAAGAAATAACTAGAAAAGAATGAAAAATATTCCACTTTTTTATAAATTATTTTTAAAGCCACTTTAGTATTAGATAATCATATTTCGAAATAATCTCTCAAGTGCATGATTAATATTAAAGTATTAAGTATTATTTCATCCCAACTCGAATCTGATTATAATCAGATTTAAATTTTGTTAAAACCTTATCAAGATCGAGATGAATATGGTCCCTGAAATAAAAATAATAGAGGATGCGATAAAATCTCATCTCATCATTCTTACTTTAATGTCACCGAAGCAGCTGAGTTCTGATTATAGAGGCTACTTGAATCTCTGATATTAGATTTAAACCAAGTGAAGAACAGGTATATATAAAGAGAACCACTTAAGTATCGTTCATATCGCAAACATGAAGTTGATCTTAACCGTTTTAGCCCTTGCGGCTGTTGCTTATGTAAGAAATTTGAATTCAAGTTTTCAAAACTTTAAATAATATGTTTGGTAAATTTTTCTATTTCTAGGCATTCGAAGATGCTATTCCCGATACATCCGTTGATTGGTCTCAAGTTAAACACTTAAACCCCAGAATTCCAGTTCCATTTGGATTGGATAAACTGATCTTTAAAGAAAGAATCGTTGGTGGGTGGGAAAGCGAACAAAATGGTTTACCTTACATGGTAAGTGAAAATTATCTATTTTTTTTTTATTTTCTGTTAATGTGAAAATTTTTTTATACAGGCCGCTATTATTGTAACTAAAGGTACTGGAAATTATCTTTGCGGTGGAAGTTTGGTTTCCCAAGTTGATATCTTAACTTCTGCACAATGTTTACTTGGGTAAATTTAAAAAATTTTTTTTTTTATGTTAACCCTAATTTTTGTTTTGTATGTAGTGCGAGTCAAGCTCAAGTTATCTTAGGTGCTCATCGTTTGGATGTCATTGAAGCCACCCAACAAAGATTCTACAGCAGTCAATTTGAAATTCATCACGGTTATGAACCAGATCTGTTCATTAATGATATCGCCGCAATTAAACTTCAAGCCCCCGTTCAACTTAATGGTAAAAAAATTAAAATCTGTTGCCATTAGACTTTTCTAACAAAATTATTTTTTGTAGATTTTGTTAGCATTGTTGCTGTACCAAGATTCGAAGATGCCGTTCACAATTTCGCTGGCGAAGTCGCCGTAGTCAGTGGATGGGGATTAACTTCCGACGCTGAAGTAACTCCAAGCGAAGTTTTAAAGAAACTTTTCGCCGAAGTCATCACCAACTTTGTCTGCAACTTCAGTTTGTTAGGAAATATTCAAGCTACTCACATCTGTACTAGTGGAGAAGGAAATGTTGGAGCTTGCGCAGGAGATGCTGGCGCTCCGTTAGTTTTTGAATACATGCAAATCGGTGTGGTTTCTTTCTCAGTTGATTTAGGATGTGAAGCTCAATGGCCTACCGTTTACACTCGTCTTACATCTTACTTAGATTGGTTAGAAACTCATACAGAAGCACACATTGGTTAAAATTAATTACAAAAGAAATGTTTTAATAAAATGTTTGTACTTTTCTAAAATATGAAAGAAAACACTTTTAAATAAATGATTATAAACTATTTTGTGTTATTTCTTTTTATCTTTAACAATTATAATTGGGTATGTGTTGAGTATTTGATGCTATCTCCTTCGTTCTTAATCAATAATTTTGTTGGATCTTTTTATCAGCACTCCTCAAAAATAAAATAAACCCTATAAAAATTGAGTTATTTAAAAAAAGTTTTCGAAGCAGAACACAATGTTGTTCCTCTTTTATGTATGTTTAGGGATTCTTTGTTGTACAAAGGTATGTAAAGATTAATTTTCTATATATGTACTGTAGAAATTTATTTTTTTAGAATGTTTTGTCATCACTAACATTTTTGAAACCAACTCATTTAGAGAGTAAAATCGTTGGAGGCGAAGAAGTATCAGCAAATTCCATTTCCTTTATGGCTGGATTATTTATTACAAAACCAACCGGCTTATATCTTTGCGGAGGTGTTCTTATTTCAACCAAATATGTTTTAACCAGCGCAAATTGTTTAGAATAGTAAGATATTAATTATATAATGGATACATTTTTATGATTCTTTTATAGTTCTACAAGTGTTGAAGTAAGATTAGGAGCTCATAAAGTAAATCAAGAAGAATCGACTCAAATAAGATTAACATCGACTAAATTTAACATTCATGGTGATTGGAATAGTACAAGTTTAACGAACGATATTGCTACGATTGTTCTCCCATCAGCAGTAACACCAAATAGTTCGAATGTTCAGTATTTTTAAAAAATAACTAATTTTTCTTTCAGATTATATTAAGCCGGTTAGTTTACCGGGAAGAGCTGATAAAGACACAACCTTTTCAGGTGAATGGGGCGTGGTAAGTGGTTGGGGTCGCGATTCTGATGCTGCAACTTCAATGAGTCAAGCACCATAATTATCTAAACCCTATGGGCATATGATGCTATTTTTTTGCTTTTGCTTCTTTAACTATAGTCATTACTGCATGTACCGTACTCCTTCCTTTTCTGTATCCATACTGGTTGTTGTTGATGGCTTCTCTGCTAGCAATCTGTTATTAATCACACGTTCAAGAAGTTTGTTTACTGCGCTAAGCATACAAAGAGGTCTGTATTACTTTTCTTGATTAGGTTTTGCAGGTTTAGGTACCAGCACTAGAACCGCTTTCTTCCAAATTTCAAGAAAACTTCCTTCTGTTAAGCATTTATTGTGCACATCGAGAAAGTTACTGGGCTTTGATGTTACGCAGGTCTGCAGAATTTCATTTGTAATTCCCTGTTCTCCAGGTGCTTTTCTTAATTTAAGCTGTTTGATGCTGTGTTCTAATTCCTCGATGGTAAACAAGCTGGTAAGTTGTTCTTTCTCCTGTTCTTCCAGTTCTTGCTCTCTCTCCTGAATTTCCTCGACTTGTGGAAACAGTCTCTTGAATAGTTCCTCTACTGTCTTGTAATCTATTTCTTCCCTTTTCTTACCCCGAGTCTTTTGGTAACAACCTGGTGTCCCGCCCCCATACCTTTTCTTCCAGCTTCAAACAAAGTTTCCACTTCTTCTCTTTGGATTCATTAATTAGCCTCTTCAAGAACTTTATTGTTTGTATGTAATCCGTAACTAGTTGTTTTATTCGCTCTGGTTTTTGTTGTCTTTTTCTATTTCTTCGCAATACTCTTCGCTTTGTCACACGTGCTCTCCTTGCTTCACCGATTTCTTTTGTCCACCAGTATACCGGGGTCTTGAGATTTTGAGGTTTTCCCTTTTTCAAGTATTTGTCACACGCAGATTTTATTGCTTCGACGAGGATCTTGGGGTCCGGGCTTCTTATCCTCTTAACCTCTTTGAGGAAGTTTATCCCAATCCAACCTAATCCAACCTAACTCAATTCAACCATGGCATTTCTAGTGCTAATCTCAGGAACAAATCTATTGACAAGATTAATTAGAAAACCACAAACATTTTGTAAATCCTAGCAACTAACCAACAAATTATTCACACTTTTCATAATCTCTGCACCAACGCAGTGTTAGAATAAAGGCATACAAGCAGATTTTTCAAATAACATCTTTAAGTGCCATGAGAGCAAGAATTATATATTTTACATAAATAGATATCCCATAACTTTCTACTACAATTGCTTTTTAGTAGAGAAGAACAGAAACCTGAAATGGTTCTCCTGTGCATTAAATATAATTAAAATTTAATTTATTATTTTTCTTCTTTTTCATCTGTATTTAGGCATAACTGCCTGTTTTTCTTCACATTTTTGCCCCTTTAATCGTTTGAAAGGTTGTCGCTCCATCTTTTCCCAGTCTTCCAATGCTTGCGTCATTCGGTTGATGTGTTCATTCCATTTCTTCTTTCTGTCCAATACCCAATCATTGATGTTATCTATCTTGCAAGCCTGTCTGATGTTCTCAGTTCTTTCTCTGTCCATCAATGTTTTCCCAACTATTCTACGCACTATTTTCATTTCTATAGTATCTAGCATTCCTTTTGCTTTGGATGTTTCTGCCGAGTCTCTGCTNAGCGAATTCTGTTCCCTATATAGCTGGATTATTTATTACAAAACCAACCGGCTAAAAATTTTGTTAAAACCTTATCAAGATCGAGGTGAATATGGTCCCTGAAATAAAAATAATAGATGATGAGATAAAATCTCATCTCATCATTCTTGTTTTAATGTCACCGAAGCTGAGTTCTGACTATAGGAGCGACTTGAATCTCTGATATTAGATTTAAACCGAGTGAAGGACAGGTATATATAAACAGAACCACTTAAGTCTCGCTCATCTCGCAAACATGAAATTGATCTTAACCGTTTTAGCCCTTGCGGCTGTTGCTTATGTAAGAAATTTGAGTTCAGGTTTATAATACTTTTGGTAAATTTTTCTTTTTCTAGACATTCGAAGATGCTATTCCCGATACATCCGTGGATTGGTCGCAAGTTAAACACTTAAATCCCAGAATTCCAGTTCCATTTGGATTGGATAAACTGCTCTTTAAAGAAAGAATCGTTGGAGGGTGGGAAAGTGAGCGAAATGCTTTACCTTACATGGTAAGTGAAACTTATCAATTTTTTTATTTTCTGTTAAAGTGAAAATATTTTTATACAGGCCGCTATTATTGTAACTAAAGGTACTGGAAATTATCTTTGCGGTGGAAGTTTGATTTCCCAAGTTGATGTCTTAACTTCTGCACAATGTTTAATTGGGTAAATTTTTTAAATCTAATTTTTTTGTTAACCCTGATTTTCATTTTGTATTTAGTGCGTTTCAAGCTCAAGTTATCTTAGGTGCTCACCGTTTGGATGTCATTGAAGCCACCCAACAAAGATTCTACAGCAGCCAATTTGAAATTCATCACGGTTATGAACCAGATCTTTTCATTAATGATATCGCCGCAATTAAACTTCAAGCCGCCGTTCAACTTAATGGTAAAAAATAAAATCTGTTGCCATTAGACTTTTCTAACAAAATTACTTTTCGTAGATTTTGTTAGCATTGTTGCTGTACCAAGATTCGAAGATGTCGTTCACAATTTCGCTGGCGAAGTCGCCGTAGTCAGCGGATGGGGATTAACTTCCGACGCTGAAGTAACTCCAAGCGAAGTCTTAAAGAAACTTTTCGCCGAAGTCATCGACAACATTGTCTGCAACATCAGTTTATTAGGAAATATTCAAGCTACCCATATCTGTACTAGCGGAGAAGGAAGTATTGGAGCTTGCGCAGGAGATGCCGGCGCTCCGTTAGTTTTTGAATACATGCAAATCGGTGTGGTTTCTTTCTCAGTTAATTTAGGATGTGAAGCTCAATGGCCTACCGTTTACACTCGTCTTACATTTTACTTAGATTGGTTAGAAACTCATACAGAAGCACACATTGCTTAAAATTAATTGCAAAAGAAATGTTTTAATAAAATGTTTGTACTTTTCTAAAATATGAAAGAAAACACTTTTAAATAAATGATTATAAACTATTTTGTGTTATTTCTTTTTATCTTTAACAACTATAATTGGATATGTGTTAAGTATTTGATGCTATCTCCTTCGTTCTTAATCAATAATTTTGTTGGATCTTTTTATCAGCACTCCTCAAAAATAAATTAAACCCTATAAAAATGGAGTTATTTAAAAACCGTTTTCGAAGCACAACACAATGTTGTTCCTCTTTTATATCTATTTAGGGATTCTTTGTTGTACAAAGGTACGTAAATATTAATTTTCCATTTATGTACTGTAGAAATTTATTGTTTTAGAATGTCTTGTCATCACTACCATTTTTAAAACCAACTCATTTAGAAAATAAAATCGTTGGAGGTGAAGAAGTATCAGCGAATTCTGTTCCCTATATAGCTGGATTATTTATTACAAAACCAACCGGCTAAAAATTTTGTTAAAACCTTATCAAGATCGAGGTGAATATGGTCCCTGAAATAAAAATAATAGATGATGAGATAAAATCTCATCTCATCATTCTTGTTTTAATGTCACCGAAGCTGAGTTCTGACTATAGGAGCGACTTGAATCTCTGATATTAGATTTAAACCGAGTGAAGGACAGGTATATATAAACAGAACCACTTAAGTCTCGCTCATCTCGCAAACATGAAATTGATCTTAACCGTTTTAGCCCTTGCGGCTGTTGCTTATGTAAGAAATTTGAGTTCAGGTTTATAATACTTTTGGTAAATTTTTCTTTTTCTAGACATTCGAAGATGCTATTCCCGATACATCCGTGGATTGGTCGCAAGTTAAACACTTAAATCCCAGAATTCCAGTTCCATTTGGATTGGATAAACTGCTCTTTAAAGAAAGAATCGTTGGAGGGTGGGAAAGTGAGCGAAATGCTTTACCTTACATGGTAAGTGAAACTTATCAATTTTTTTATTTTCTGTTAAAGTGAAAATATTTTTATACAGGCCGCTATTATTGTAACTAAAGGTACTGGAAATTATCTTTGCGGTGGAAGTTTGATTTCCCCAGTTGATGTCTTAACTTCTGCACAATGTTTAATTGGGTAAATTTTTTAAATCTAATTTTTTTTGTTAACCCTGATTTTCATTTTGTATGTAGTGCGAGTCAAGCTCAAGTTATCTTGGGTGCTCACCGTTTGGATGTCATTGAAGCCACCCAACAAAGATTCTACAGCAGCCAATTTGAAATTCATCACGGTTATGATCCAAATCTTTTCATTAATGATATCGCAGCAATTAAACTTCAAGCCGCCGTTCAACTTAATGGTAATAAAATAAAATCTGTTGCCATTAGACTTTTCTAACAAAATTACTTTTCGTAGATTTTGTTAGCATTGTTGCTGTACCAAGATTCGAAGATGCCGTTCACAATTTCTCTGGCGAACTCGCCGTAGTCAGTGGATGGGGATTAACTTCCGACGCTGAAGTAACTCCAAGCGAAGTCTTAAAGAAAGTTTTCGCCCAAGTCATCAACAACTTTGTTTGCAATATCAGTTTATTAGGAATTATTCAAGCTACCCACATCTGTACTAGCGGAGAAGGAAATATTGGAGCTTGCGCAGGAGATGCTGGCGCTCCGTTAGTTTTTGAACACATGCAAATCGGTGTGGTTTCTTTCTCAGTTGATTTAGGATGCGAAGCTCAATGGCCTACCGTTTACACTCGTCTTACATTTTACTTAGATTGGTTAGAAACTCATACAGAAGCATACATTGATTAAAATTAATTGCAAAAGAAATGTTTTAATAAAATGTTTGTACTGTTCTAAAATATGAAAGAAAACACTTTTAAATAAATGATTATAAAATATTTTGTGTTATTTCTTTTTATCTTTAACAATAATAATTGGGTATAAATTGAGTATTTGATGCTATCTCCTTCGTTCTTAATCAATAATTTTGTTGGATCTTTTTATCGGCACTCCTCAAAAATAAAATAAACCCTATAAAAATTGAGTTATTTAAAAAAAGTTTTCGAAGCAGAACACAATGTTGTTCCTCTTTTATGTATGTTTAGGGATTCTTTGTTGCACAAAGGTATGTAAAAATTAATTTTATATATATGTACTGTAGAAATTTATTTTTTTAGAATGTTTTGTCATCACTAACATTTTTGAAACCAACTCATTTAGAGAGTAAAATCGTTGGAGGTGAAGAAGTATCAGCTAATTCCATTCCCTATATGGCTGGATTATTTATTACAAAACCAAGCGGCTTATATCTTTGCGGAGGTGTTCTTATTTCAACCAAATATGTTTTAACCAGCGCAAATTGTTTAGAATCGTAAGATATAAAATAGTATTATAAAATGGATACATTTTTATGATTCTTTTATAGTTCTACAAGCGTTGAAGTAAGATTAGGAGCTCATAAAGTAAATCAAGAAGAATCGACTCAAGTAAGATTAACATCGACTCAATTTAACATTCATGGTGATTGGAATAGTACAAGTTTAACGAACGATATTGCTACGATTCTTCTTCCATCAGCAATAACACCAAATAGTATTATTCAAATTTTCAATGTTTTTAAAAAATAACTAATTCTTCTTTCAGATTATATCAAGCCGGTTAGTTTACCGGGAAGAGCTGATAAAGACACAACGTTTTCAGGCGAATGGGCTGTTGTAAGTGGTTGGGGTCGCGATTCTGACGCTGCAAATTCAATGAGTCAAGTTTTACGTTCAGTTGACGTTGAAATTATGTCCAATGCAAATTGTATTTTTTATTACGGAACTTATGTAACTCCCGGGCATATTTGTACGAGTGGAGTTGATGGGGTTGGGTCATGTAGAGGGGATTCAGGTGGACCATTAATATTTGATGACCAATTGGTAATATTGATGATTTCACAATATAAAAATTGGAGTAAAAATATTTTTTTATTAATCAGATCGGAATTGTGTCATTCGCAAGTTCTGCGGGATGTGAAGTGGGATGGCCAACAGCATACACAAGAGTTACATCATATTTTGAATGGATTGAAAATCATTCCGATGTGGTTATTAATAAATAATAATTAGATTTTTCAGTTGTTTGTAAAAATTTTATTTTAAAAGTTATCAATAAAAGTGGTCACCCAATTCATTTTCACGCTAACAAATTATAGATGTCAGTATAGCACAAGGGTTTAAAAAGGCTTATTGTTACTGTTACAAATTTATTATGAAAAAGAGACACCCATTTTGACCCCAAAACTACACCAAAAAGAGAGTCAATAGCATTTTTAGACATATCCAAGACGTCCGACAAGGCGTGGCATTATGAGCAATTCAAGATGCTTATTGTGCTTCATGCTATAACTTGTTTGGTCATTCTTATGTGGAAGAATGTTCCAAATCAAAGTTGAGTATCACCAATCTACGGGCAAGACCATGACTGCAGGAGTGCTGCTACAAAGGTCTGAACTCTCTTCTCTGCTATTCAACATCTTTATGAGATGTGCTGAACGTCTAGATCTTACCGATCGTGGAATACACTACTGCATCAAGACTCCAACAGAATTACAGCTGCTCATAAGACTCCATGTGCTACTGGAGCTAATGGTTATGACTGTAAAAGCAAAAATTATAGCAGGAAAGACCTGGGGGATCTTTATAGTATTGCTGATGCATATTGCTAATTCAATAATGTTGTACGGCTGGCTGGTGTAAGTTCAGGATACCCACAGGGTTGCGCATCACTTGCGATACAGCACTATATCAGTGGCGGTACGAGTGATAGTATACGATGCTGAATTTTGATCACATTTCATTATGGAATATATAATAGCAACAATTATAGGAAAACTTGCAATAGTATGAGACAGAAATTACTAAAGCCTGCCTACAATTTCGTGTATTTGTTATATTTCAAAACTTGGTAAGACTTAAGTCGATAAATCACATTATAATCAAAAATATTCATATCTGTTGGATTTGAAAAAGGTAATACATTTAGTTCTTGAATTAGAGGTTTGTTGTTTTAATAAATAATCCTGATAACGATAAGATTCAATCAAAAATTAAACTTTTTTTTGACAAACACTTTATAATGATAAAAATCACGATATTATTACACAAAATTGAGGCCATGTGCAGTTATGTAATAAACACTTAAAATTACATATCGTGAGGATTTATATAAATCGAATAAAATATTGAAATCATTTAACAAGAATATTTATTATTGTAAATTTTTTTTCAAATTTTCTAATGGATTATAACATCAGAATGAGCTTGAATCCAATCCAAATAAGTAGTAACACGAGTGAAAGCAGATGGCCATCCAACTTCGCAACCGATGGCAAGTCCGAAAGAAACAATACCAATCAATTTGTCATTGTGAACGAGAGGACCACCACTGTCTCCACTGCAAGATCCAACTCCACCAGATCCACCAGTACAGATATTGCTGTTGTGGATTTGTCCTAAATAGCTGATGTTGCAAACTAAGTTACTAATTACGGTAGCATAAACTTCTCTAAGAACGGGGCTAATGCTGTCGGAACTGTCAGAATCCAATCCCCATCCGCTGACGCGAGCTACTGAATCAGTAAACTCATTGGCGACATCAGCGTATGTTGGCAAATTAACGGGTTGGATATTTTCGGTTAATTCGATTTCTTGTTTCAAATCGATGACGGCAATATCGTTAATGATTTGGGTAGCATCCCAACCAGAGTGCATTGTATAAGCATCTGTGGTAATTTTTACTTGAGTATCTTCAGCTTCATTAATTTTATGAGCCCCCAAAGTAACTTGGATTTCGGAAGCACTTTATGAGAAAAGATAAAAACCAATTAGCTTACTACAAAATTATTGATAGTGTTTTAACATACCCATCAACACAATGAGCGGCGGTTAAAAGGTAACGTGTGGAGATGAGGGAAGCTCCACAGAAGTAATTTTCAGTACCAACCGTAACTCTTAAGGCAGCTTGATATTTAATGGAGTTTGGAACAGCTTCTTGACCTCCAACAATTCTGTTTTTGGGCAAATCCCAGAAGTTAGCTGGCATTCTTGGCATAAGATTGTGTCTTTTAACATTACTCCAGTCAACATCACTGGAAGCCTACAACAATAAAAATGTATGATGAAAAAATTAATTTATTACTTAAAGTTTCAACTTACATTGGCAATAGCCACGAAGGCTAAAACAGCTAAGAAAGCTTTCATGGTTGCAACAAAGCGATGAAGCACTCACTGTAATATTTCGACTTTCTTTACCATTTATATAGTTTATTAAAAAAAAAATTACACAAGTAGTTTCTGATAACGCTGTTTTGGCTGATTTATAATGGGGATTTATAAAAGATCCTTGAATACAATAGTTTTTTGATAACTTTTTTTATGTTCTAAAATACCCAACAACTATATTTTGATTTATAGCAGATAAAGATACAATGCAATATCGAAATAGTTTTATTTTATCATTGTGATCTAACAAGATTTCGCAATTATCATCTGGATGATTTACATCTTTCATAATCTTCTAATTTTTAGATAATATTTTATGAAACCTATCTATGATAATCATAAAATTTCAATATCTCATTAAAAAAAAGTAGAATTCATTGAATATAAAAATTAAGTTATTTCTTAATTTCTTATTAATCCATCTCATTAAAGTAATTAGACTGGTGAGAGTTATTGATTTTGAATAGAGAAAAGTGTACTCTTTTAAAGAGTGATAATTTAGTTCCATTCTTCAGTAAGGTTAATATCTGGAAATATTCTCTTAACATTCCTGATACATAAAAAGATCGAAGCAAGAATCGACAACATAAATTACAACAATGACAGACTTCTGCAGACTAGGGAGAAGAGTCCACTACAAAATAGTGGGAAATAGAATAAACGCAAACATCCAGTCAATCAAAAAAACTTTCTGAAAAAATCTGGAATGTATTAGGAAACAGAACGAAACCAGAGCAACCGAGTTCATACAGATCACAAATATAAAGATGGCAAAATTGGAAAAAATACTTCAAAAAGTTATAGGAAGACATGTCAGAAAACGAGAAATACACAGAACCTCCTCAACCAGACGTTGCTCAACCGGGATTTTCCTTCTCCAAAGGAAGAATAAAACACACAATCCAGAAGTTGAAAACCAGTAAATCCTCAGGTATTGACGCAATAACAAATTAGCTGATTAAATATGGTGGAGATGACTTACATGCCTTGTTTAAGATAATTATCAAAAGTAAAAAGATAACATCTCAGTAAAGGTGTAGCATACTAATATCAATCTTCAAAAGGGCGAAGAGACAAACCCAAGTTATTATAAGGGAATTAGTCTCTGAATTTTTATTTAAAAATTGGTGTACAGAATGCTATCAGAAGAAATAACAGCAACTAGGATCTGCAAACAATAATAGATGCTATCTTAGGGCGAGTAGTAGCCAGGTACTAAGGAGATGTAAGCTAGTAGTTTACAATCGCGCTACATCAGGACATGTGATTGAAATATCTCGGAGCAAATATTACTAGCAGTAGAGACCTGAAAGAACAAGTCAGAACAGAAACCACAAGAAATGTAGTATGGAGGAACAAAGTAAGGAGAGGATTTATTAGACGATTCTAAGATCGACGATAACATACGCCATTGAAACAAGCATGGAAAGCAAAACACCCAAAAGGCTTCTCAGAACCACAGAGGTGAAACCTCTTCGAATTGGCTACTCTCTCCTAGACCACTTGAGAAGCGAAGACATCAGGGGAAAATGTGGACTGTAGGACATATCTGGAGAATGCCAAAACACAGATTGCCGAAAATCGTAGAGAGAGAAAACCGTATGGGACCAAACCTTGAAAGATTAAGCAAATTCCTGTACTGTTTTATTTGTATAGTTAACAATAGTATACGATGTGATTAGATACAAGCCTAAAAGAATCCAATACAAGAAGTAACAGTCTCATTTTTTCAGTAAGACATATTCCTGTACAAACGAATACAGTCATTTTACACCCACCACAATTATTGTGTCAGCTTTAAAACAACATAATATAAACAAAAAATAGCAAAAAGAAATATTAAACATAAAATTATCAAATAAGTTATAATAATTAATTTTATTAAAATCGAGGCATAAACTACAAAACAATCGTGTTTTTATTAGTTCATCTATTTGTTATATGAATATGGTGTAGACGTAGTTGTTGTTGTAGTGGATGATATACCAATTACTACATCCGAATTATCTTCAATCCAATCAAGATGAGATGTAACTCTTTGATATCCAGAAGGCCAATCTACCTCACAACCCAAAGAGACGCTAAAGGAAGCCACGCCAATCTAAAATTGTAATGCAGAATTGAGACTTTAGCTGATTTGATTCATATCGAACCTTACTAATTGTTCGTACAAGACCAAAGGACCACCGCTATCGCCACCGCAAGCACCATATCCACCACCACCATCCGTACAAATGTGTTTTTCAGTTATGTAACCTTTATACCAATACTCGCAAAATTCATTTGTGGTTACCACCACGTTAACAAAACGTAAAGTTGGGCTTATTCCCGTGGCTGAATCTGAAGCTTTTCCCCAACCGCTAACTCTGGCACGTTTACCGGCGAAATCACTTGTTTCACTTCTTGATGGTAACCGAATAATTTGTACATATTCTAAAATATTTTTTTAATTCATTTTTATCTCGGAAAAGATAAGAATGACTTACCGTTTAATTTCGCAGAGGTTGGTAAATGTATAAGAGCAATATCATTTTGTAAAGTATTTTGGTCCCATTTTTCATGAACAGTGTAATTATTGGATGTAATTAGTTGTTGGGATTCTTCCCATAAATTTATATTATGGGCACCGAGAATAATTTGAATATTACTTGATCTGCAACAGTTTTAAAATTATATTTTATATTTTTTATTGTTATTAATTTTACCCATTAATGCAATGAGCTGCAGTTAGAACGGTATTTTCTGAAATCAGAGAACCCCCACAGAAACTACTATATTCATTATAACTGATTATAAGTCCCACTTGGTATGGTATTGAATGGGGTTCCGCTTCTTCTCCTCCTACAATTTTGTCATGATGATTCTTTAGAAATTGTAAAATAAATTGTGGATCAGACCTCTTTATTTTGAACCAATCAATAGTAAACGCCTATTTAAGATAAGATTTGTTAAAAAAATGTGTAGTTTAGAAAATATTTAGTTTTTAGTTACCTGCGTGGAAATCGCAAAGAAAACGATACTAACTAAAACATTCATCGTTGGATATTAAAGTAAAGAAAAAAAAATGTTCGTATTTATATCAAATTAAATTTTTAATTTGTATTTCCCCATCATGTCTTTATTTTAGTAACGTCGATAGATAAGATGATAAACGCGGGACTTTACTAAAACTCGCATCATTACGTTTCGCAAAATAATGTTTCTCTCCATTAATTTAATAACGTTTGAAATTACGAATCGTGTCCGTCAGATTGTCACACGAACAAAATGAGATAAATTCAGATATAAAATGTTAATCGTGAATAAAATAAATAAAACCCAACCCAGATTAAAAAAAAAAATTGTATTATATATTTAAAAAAAAAACATATATAAAATCTAATTAACTAGAACATTGCTGTTACTTGAAATCCAATCAAGGAATGAGGTTACTCTTGTGAAAGCAGATGGGTAACCTAATTCACAGCCAGCGGCTGCTCCAAAGGAGACAACACCGATTTGAACACCATCAACAACCAATGGACCACCACTGTCACCGCTGCAAGATCCAATTCCACCAGTACCACGAATACAAACGTGTCCGGATGTAATGTACCATCCGAAAGTGTTGCTACATTCAGAGTTGGTGATAACAGGGGCGAAAACGTAACGTAAAACGGGGCTGATACCAGCAGCTTGATCAGAATCTTTGCCCCAACCACTAACTCTAGCGGTAACACCAGCAAAATCGCCTGAGTCCCCAGATGGCAATTGAACAGTTTGGATGTTTTCTGAAAAAAGAAAAATTAATAAATCCAGAATTTAAAATGTCATTGATTTTTTTACCGTTTATTGGTGCAGCTTCTGGAAGATGAACCAAAGCAATGTCATTGAATAAAGTATCAGCGTCCCATCCACTATGGACAGTGAATTGTTGTGATGTGATACGTACTTGAGTATTTTCAACGGCAGATACATTGTGAGCTCCAAGTCTCACTTGAACGGAAGAAGCCCTACATTAAAGAGAAATAAATCACAAAATTATTTTTTTTTTAATTAACATGATCATTTACCCATCGACACAATGAGCAGCGGTTAAAATGGTTGTTGGAGAGATCAAAGATCCTCCGCAAAAGAAGGTGCCGGCTGGGGTGGTAATGGAAAGACCAGCTTGGTACGGAATGGAGTTACGAGCTGCTTCATAACCGCCAACAATTTTTTCACCACCACGAACTTTAGAAATGGGGATTTTTGGGTAAACATTCCTGGGCGTGATAGTCCTCCAGTCATCATCAATGGCCTGAATGAAAAAATAAGTATTTTTATGCAAATTGTATGATGAAAAAATTAATTTGTTACTTCAGTGTCAACTTACATTAGCAATAGCCACGAAGGCTAAAACAGCGAAGAAAGCTTTCATGGTTGCAACAAAGCGATGAAGCACTCACTGTAATATTTCGACTTTCTTTGCCATTTATATAGTTTATTAAAAAAACCATTACGTAAATAGTTTCTGATAAAGCTGACTGATTTCTAACGGGGACTTACAAAAGATGCTTGAATTCAATAGTTTTTTGATAACATTTTTATGTTCTAAAATACACAACAACTTTGTTTTGATTTATAGCAGATAAATATATAATGCAATATTGAAATAGTTTTTTTTATCATTGTGATCCAACGAGATTTCGCAATTATCAAAATTAGAAGATAGTGAAAGATGTAAATCATCTAGTTACATATTTCATTATCTTCTAATTTTTAGATAATATTTTATTAAAGCTATCTATGATAATCAGAAAATTACAATATCTTATTAAAAAAGAATAGAATTCATAAAATATAAAAATTAAGTTATTTGTTTTTAGTTTCTTTTTGTACTAAAATTTTATCTCATTAAACTAATTGTACTGGTGAGGAATGAAGAGAGTAGAGTTGTTGCTTTGAAAACATAATTACGTTGAAAATCTTATTTTAAACTTTTTAATTTGAAACCTTTGTACGGTTTTTACAACTTAATTCTTCAATCCCAATACCAATAGTACTGGGTTATAGTACTGAGACTACTGAATACTGAATTGACAAATTTTTGTACAGCAATTAACTCCGTTGTGTTCGTAATTATTATGTTGGTGTTAATAATAATAACAATAATCGTAAAATGTACCAAAATATGTTGGAAAGTTCTATGTAGTAGCAGTACTTGCAGGATGTGGAAGTTTCGTGGGTGACGGCCAGCTTGATTTGGCCATGTGGACAAAATAGTTAAAAGGATGGCATTCTGTTGCCAAACAAGATTTTCTCAACATCGTTTCTCAATGAAACGAAACCTCCTCAAGCAGACGTTGCTCAACCGGGATTCTCCTTCTCCAAAGGAAGAATACAACACACAATCCAGAAGTTGAAAAACAGTAAATTCCCCGGTATTGACGAAATAACAAAATAGCTGATTCAATATGGTGGAGATGAAATACATGCTCTGCTTAACATAATTACCAAAGTAAAAAGATAATATAACAATAAAGGTGTAGCATACTAATATCAATCTTCAAAATGATGAAGACACAAACCCAAGTAATTATAAGGAAATTCGCCTCTGAACTTCTATCTACAAATTGGTGTACAGAATACTATCAGAAGAAATAACAGCAACTAGGATCTGGAAACAACAATAGATGCCATCTTTGTTATCCGACAAATAACTGAAAAGGCCATAGAGTTCGACAAGGCACCTTTTACCTCTTTTCGCTAGCTTAAACAGATTTTTGATAGGTAAAGAACACATTCACTCGAGTGTTGTGGCACTTGTAAATGAGATGTGTACTGTTCAATTGCAACTGAAGCGAAGCAAATTGTCGAAAGAACGAAATGAGATAAATTCAGATATGAAATGTTAATAGTGAATACAATCAATAAAACAAAACCACGATTTTAAAAAAATTTGTATTATATATTTTAATAAAAAGTAGATATAAAATCTAATTAATTAGAACATCGCTGTTACTTGATATCCAATCAAGGAATGATGTTACTCTTGTGAAAGCAGATGGGTAACCTAATTCACAGCCAGCGGCTGCTCCAAAGGAGACAACACCGATTTGAACACCATCAACAACCAATGGACCACCACTGTCACCGCTGCAAGATCCAATTCCACCAGTACCACGAATACAAACGTGTCCGGATGTAATGTACCATCCGAAAGTGTTGCTACATTCAGAGTTGGTGATAACAGGGGCGAAAACGTAACGTAAAACGGGGCTGATACCAGCAGCTTGATCAGAATCTTTGCCCCAACCACTAACTCTAGCGGAAACACCAGCAAAATCGCTTGTGTCCCCAGATGGTAATTGAATAGTTTGGATGTTTTCTGAAAAAAGAAAAAAATAAATCCAGAATTTAAAAAGTCATTGATTTTTTTTTACCGTTTATTGGTGCATTTATTGGTGCAGCTTCTGGAAGATGAACCAAAGCAATGTCATTGAATAAAGTATCAGCGTCCCATCCACTATGGACAGTGAATCGTTCTGATGTTATACGAACTTGAGTACTTTCAACGGCAGATACACTGTGAGCTCCAAGTCTCACTTGAACGGAAGAAGCCCTACATTAAAGAAAAATAAATCACAAAATTATTTTTTTTTAAATTAACATGATCATTTACCCATCGACACAATGAGCAGCGGTTAAAATGGTTGTTGGAGAGATCAAAGATCCTCCGCAAAAGAAGGTGCCGGCGGGGGTGGTAATGAAAAGACCAGCTTGGTACGGAATGGAGTTACGAGCTGCTTCATAACCGCCAACAATTCTTTCACCACCAGGAACTTCAAAAATGGGGATTTTTGGGTAGACGTTCCTGGGCGTAATAGTCCTCCAGTCATCATCAATGGCCTGCATGAAAAAGTAATTATTTTTATGCAAATTACGAATAAGTTAATTTTTACCTGAGCCAAAACAGCTAACAACAAAACACCGGCTAATACCTTCATGATTAGTGAAATTAATGTCTCGTTAAAAAAAATCGTTGTATTTATATCGTTTCGGACCTAATGGTTGGCCTTTGTTTTAATTATAGATTAAAAAAACGATAATCTCGGGACTGTACAGCAATGTCATATTTAGCCTATTCGAGTACTGATAAGTAAGCAGATATCCTCCCAGATTACATTTGGCAATATAAACCACTTGATTCATAGGTTAAATAGTGTGGACAATAATAAAGATAAATGCGTGATTATTATCAAAAATTTATTAATTATATACTGCTATATATATATATTATTAGAGATTTTGGTTATTTTCTATCATCTCTACCAGAAGCGGCAAACAGTATCTAGTATTAATACCTTGTAGCCACACAACAATCTTCTTTTCAAAGTAATTCTTTTCTTCCATTTCTTTTAATAAAGGATAAATTTATGTTGTTGTCATTATTTGGTTCTAGTTTAACTGTTTTTTAAGTTTATCTAGTATTGTAGTTATAAATAATCTTCTCGGTAGGTAATTCCATATCTGCTATTAAAAGTTGGATTCACGTTTGACAATCTACTATGTTATATTCATTGTCAGTGTGAAAATATGAATCCAAAATCTTCCGTCTTAGGCTAAATAGAAGTAAAGTAAGGAAAAATTTGCATAATAATTAAAAAAATTATTTAAATTCAAATAAATTTATTTATATAATCACATTTCCTAATAAACATTTCATCTAATTTTCATTAATAATGATATCCACCATCTAATCCTTCAGTTTCATATCCGCCGTATCCACTTTCAAATCCACCGTGTTGTTGTTGTTGTTGTCCAGCAGCGGAAGCAGATTCAGCAGCATGGGCAGCAGCGGCTTGAGCTTGTTGGGCTGAAGCTTGAGCTTGTTGGGCAGCGGCTTCGGTAGAAGCAAGATCGGATTGAGCGGCGTGGAGTTCTTCGGTTAAAGAGTTGTATCTTTGTTTGGCTTCACCGACCATAGCGGATTGAGATCCATATTCTTGAGCGGCTTCTTGGGCGGCTTGGTTGGCGTGGGTGAGGGTTCCTTGAGCAGCGGAAAGAGCTGAATTCAAAGCGTTAATTTGTTGTTGAGCTTGTTCGGCGGTTTGTCTGGCAGCTTCAGCGGCACGTTGAGCTTGTTCCAATTGACGTACTTCACCTTCCAAAGCTAAATGAGCTTCTTGAGCTTGTTGTTGGAGACGTTGAACGAGAATTTGTTTCCCGACAAGAGCAGCTTGAGCAGCGGAAGCAGCCTGAAATTGAATAAGGATTTAATAAACGATAATAACAAAAGGATTTCTTTGTTACGTTGATGGCATTTTGAGCTAAAGCACTTTTAGCTTGAGCAGCGGCTTGTTTGCCAGCGGTATATTGATTGGCAACGGCATTGTTGGCTTGTTCAGCTGAGTTTTGGGCGATGGTTTTTAATCCACTTCCTGCACTGAAACCTTTTCCACCATGTCCTGAAGACTCATAGGAAGAATATCCTGGAGCTCCATGAACCAAAGCAACTAAAACTTTTTTTAATTAGTATATTTTTTAAATTAAACTTATAATTTTGGTCACATACTAGCGAAAACACTTAAAACGGCGAATTTGAACATGATGATTTGTTTTTTAGATTGTTGGTTGGTTTGGTTTTAGAGATTGAACAAGTTTGTTTCTGCCGTTTCGAATCTACTCAAGAACTATATATACTCTATTTTTTGGTGATTTGTTAGTGGGGGATTTTTCGGAAATATTTCTAGGAAGTTATTGCGCCACAAAAGTAATCTGGGTTGAAATTTTATAAGTCTTAACGTTGATAGGCGGACGTAATAGTATTTGCGGGTTCAATGGAAGTGCTCTCACTTTTTATTTTGTTCTTCAATGTTAAGTGTTCTATTGCGGATTCGTTACATAAAGGAATGCGAATGTAATCTTATTATGCAAGAAGTTCCATTTAGAAACATTTAGATATTACAATTTCGGCAATTAAAAAAGAATTTTTTTTATTAAATATTTCCTTATTTGTGTGTAATTTTATTTTTCGTAACAGATTAAAGTAAGATGTATACATGGAGCTTTAATTAACTTGCTCATTGCCCATGTCATCTTAATCTCGATGCACAATTAGTTCATGGGCAGTGAAAGTACTAGTTCATATTGCGTCAGATGATTTCAATTTTATTCAATTATTTTAGAAATTTTCTTTATATTTACACATGGTGAATAAATTATTTTCTTAATTTAGAAACAAATTAAAAAAATTAAATTCATTCGCTATTATATTATCATAATTTTTACTAAAATAAAAAAAATATATATAATTGAGTAAATAATTATTTATAATAATCTTTTATAACTTCTCCTTCACGCTGTATTATTAAAGAATTTAACGATACAGCACAATTGAGTCGATCTCGTTCAGTTACCGTGAAAAAGTTGCATTAGCTTCGTCCCCCTCCATCTTTTACTTCCCAATATTGAAAGTATTCACTATAAATACGCCGTAATTATTTCCTCAAATCATTCCAAACTCACCCATCAAATCATATTACAACAGCTTATTAAAAAAAATAGAACAAAATGTTCAAGTTTGTAGTTCTTGCCGTCGTAGTTGCCGCCGTTTATGGAGAACCAGGATTTTCATCTAGCCACGGAGGAAAAGGATTCAGTTCAGGAAGTGGATTAAAAACAATCGCTCAAAATTCAGCTGAACAAGCTAACAACGCCGTTGCAAGCCAACTTGCCGCCGCTAAACAAGCTGCAGCTCAAGCTAAGAGTACTTTAGCTCAAAATGCTATCAATGTAATTAAAAAGCTTTTCGTATTTTTTCATTTATCGATTAACATGTTAATGTAATTTTATTTCAGGCTGCTTCCGCTGCTCAAGCTGCTCTTGTCGGCAAACAAATCCTTGTTCAACGTCTCGAACAACAAGCCCAAGAAGCCCATTTAGCTTTGGAAGGTGAAATCCGTCAATTAGAACAATCTCAACGTGCTTCTGAATCCGCAAGACAAACCGCTGAACAAGCCCAACAACAAATCAACGCTTTAGGATCCGCACTCGCAACCGCTCAAGGAACCCTCACCCACGCCAATCAAGCTGCTCAAGCTTCCGCACAAGAATACGGATCCCAATCTGCTATGGTCGGGGAAGCCAAACAACGTTACAACTCCTTAACCGAAGAACTCCAATCTGCTGAACACGATCTTGCTTCCACCCAAGCTGCTGCTCAACAAGCTCAAGCTGCCGCCCAGCAAGCCCAAGCTGCTGCTGCTCATGCCGCTGAATCTGCTTCAGCTGCTGGACAACAACATGGTGGATTTGAAGGTGGACATGGTGGATTCGATTCTGAAGGATTCGATGGGGGATATCATCATTATTAAGAAAAATGATTAATGAGGATGGGTTATTGATGGGATTTAATGAAATTTATGTGATATTTGAAAAATTGATGATGAAATATGAAAAAAATATAGAATTTTTTATTTAATATGTTTTATTGTTTTATTTATTAAGGTATGAAAAATTTATATGTAAAGACCCAATTAATTACAACGAAATCTTATACTTTTAAAGTCACAAACGACATTATATTTATATACTATATATTATAACTGGATAGTAAGTGCTAATTAAGAAAAATAACCTTCGAATCTATCTAAACATTTCGATAAAAAATTATTAGAAAGATCGCTTCAGCATACCTTCAGCATATCCTACAACCGTATAATTCTCTGATGCGGAAGATACCTGACATCCTGTATATACCTAACCTTCCTGGGCCTAAAAGTAGTTTTCGATCATGTACCGAGACAACGTTTATGGATTATATGAGAAGATATAATGCATTAAGTGAACTGCGGACAAGTACAAAATTACGAGGAGTGGTCAAAAATACATACACAAAAGTAACAGGAACACTTAGACTGAATGGAAAGACTGGCTAACGTCTGTTCATTGTCTACATAGAAACAATAATAAATCAAGTCAAAAATCAAAGAAACCCGCCGAGATTAATATACCACAACCTAACTTCGATTTGCACACATGACTTAGAAACACAGAAACATCTAAACATGACAAACCTGCCTACAAGAGATAGATGAAAAAATACGTAACAAAATAGCAAAACCAAGTGGATTCAATTACTAGCTACACAATACACTGGTTTCGGAAACTTGAATAATATTCGGCAGACACAAATCAAAAATAGGAGTAGCAGAGTTGAAATATCTACGAAGAATAGTAGGAAAAACTAAACGATATGGAATACGAAACGGGAACGTCAGAAAAGAACTAAGGTGAGAGCTCTAGTAGAGATAATAGAAAAGAAACAGCTGATATGGGGTGACCTGGTTCAAATGGATGAGGGAAGAAGGCTCCCAAGAAAATGTTCAATACGAAGTCAGAAGGAAGAAGAAAATGGAGTTGACCAAGAATCAGTGGGATGTCATCAAGAAAAAGAAGAAGAAGAAGATAGTTTCTTTCCTAGTAATTTTATGCCAGCTCCTATCACGAACTTCCACGCATAACATTAAGCCACGAATGCTGACATAAATTTCTTGCTGATTATTGCTTGCAGCTTTAGTATTCCGAAATTAAATGGCTTGGGTGACCAAAATGTGTATTGGTCCTTGGAAAAATACGAATGTGTTCATAGAAATTTAAAGTTAATGCTCAAACCTTTAAGTCTATCTTTAGAAATCACTTCCTCCAAGCAATGACTAACTTTGAGCACTTCTTTGACTGTTCATGTTTTCAACTCAACATGTTTTCTCTGAGCTCAGTTTTGAATTCACTTATGGAAATATTCGTTTGAAGAGATGCTGAACCAACTTTTAACAAGAAACACGTAGTTCTCTTGAGTAGCTGAATATAAGCGTTGACAAGAAATGGTAATGGCTGAAATACGACTAGGACCACGAGGACATATCGAAAAGTAATTGTTGCAGTTACTAACAGTAGTTGTCTAAATTGTCTTATTGCACATAATATTTTTTGAAATTGTTGAGATTTTTAATTACATTTTTTTAGTGAGTAAAATTGTGGTATGTATTAATTACATTTTAATTAATACAGATTATGACAGAAAAGTGAAAATTAAAGAAATCCCTTCGACCATACTTTGATTGACGTGTTAGATTAAAGTAATTTAGAAATCGACTTCGATTTGAAATAGTCTGTTTTCCAAAAAGTATTTTTAACATTTAATATAAAAATATTATCGTTTTTTTTTTTAATTATTACATATACGTTATATTCCATTTACCTTTTTATTAGAAGGGCACATTAAATGGTTTAATCTGACGAAATACTTTTCCTTGTGATTAATAGGAAGTGTATGTATAAGAAAAAAATAAAAACGTTTCCGATTGAGTAATAAAAACGTTTGTACGAAAGTGGAGTACCTACACTAATAAAAAAAGAATGCTTTTAACCTAGATTGTCCATCTAAACGAACTAAATTGGATCTGCTTCATAAAACTTTATAAAAAAAGAGCCGGATCTCGTAACATTATGAATTGGAATTATTCGAATTTTAAGCAACGTTTTATTATAATTTTAAGAACACACAATACTCTTGGTTGTTATACAATGGTTTAGCATTGAAATTAGAACTGTCGAAACGGAAAAAAAGTAAGAGCACCGCTAACGAACACACAATTCGATTATTTACGGCTATTTCAAAAATATTATTTACACTTATATTCAATTTTTAATCGAATATATCCATCTAGCGTAAAAAAATCATTACGTTATATCCCTCTCCCACCGTCATTTTATTTCCTATCCACACCCAAACAATTTTTAGTATAAATACTCAAAAATTAATTTTTAAAATCAGTCTTGGTACAAGCATCGATTTAATCAAACCCAAATTAAAAAACAAACCATAAATATGTTCAAATTCGTCGTACTATCCTTAACCGTCGCTTACGTCCTTGGAGCTCCAGGATATTCCTACGAATCTTCAGGACATGGTGGAAAAGGTTTCAGTGCTGGAAGCGGATTAAAAACCATTGCTCAAAGCTCAGCTGAACAAGCTAATAATGCCGTTGCAAATCAATACGCTGCTGCTAAACAAGCTGCTGCTCAAGCCAAAGGCGCTTTAGCTCAAAATGCCATCAATGTAAGAAAAAATAATATTAACCAAATCGAGACTAATTTTTTCTGATTCAATTTCAGGCTGCTTCTGCTGCTCAAGCTGCTCTCGTCGGGAAACAAATTCTCGTTCAACGTCTTCAACAACAAGCCCAAGAAGCTCATTTGGCTTTAGAAGGTGAAATCCGTCAATTAGAACAAGCTCAACGTGCTGCCGAATCCGCCAGACAAACCGCCGAACAAGCTCAACAACAAATTAACGCCTTAAACTCAGCTATTTCTGCCGCTCAAGGTACTCTCACTCACGCCAACCAAGCCGCTCAAGAAGCCGCACAAGAATACGGATCTCAATCCGCTATGGTCGGTGAAGCCAAACAAAGATACAACTCTTTAACCGAAGAACTCCACGCCGCTCAATCTGATCTTGCTTCCACCGAAGCAGCCGCTCAACAAGCTCAAGCTGCAGCCCAACAAGCTCAAGCCGCTGCTGCTCACGCCGCTGAAGCTGCTTCCGCTGCTGGACAACAACAACAACAACAACACGGTGGATTTGAAAGTGGATTTGAAACTGAAGGATTAGATGGGGGATATCATCACTATTAAGAAGAGACTTTTTAGATGAATTTGATTAAAGCAATGTGATAATTTCGTTTCAAATAAATTTATAACAATTATAAAGGATACTGTAATTTTTATTTGTAATGTATTTCAGTTGAACTTTCGTGTGAGAGATGGCGCTTAAAACCATAATTTGATTTAAAATCTGATTATTATCTTTAATGTTGGATGAGGTTGTCATCACTCAACAGACTCAAACCTATAATTATGCATACTTAAAATGTCAATTTTCTTAAATTATATCACCATATTATCTTAAAAATTTTAATAATACTACACTTTTTAATAAATTTTGTTTTCTTTTTTATTTTTATTATCTCTATGTAAGATATAAATCTTATTTAAATGTTGAAAAAGAAAAGAATCTAAAATAATTTAGAAATTGTTTTAGTGTTTGTCCATAAGTGTATTTCCTGTTAAAGGCGATGTTAAAGCAATGTATAGTTCTTCTGTCAGCACTGTCGATAGCGTTTACAACTCACTGACTAATGGATTCGCACATACAAACGACAACATTACCCCTGTTATACTCAATTAGAGTGGTGCCGTTTTCCCGTTTCTGTCGACTATAAATGGCTCGTGCATCCACATAGAAAAAAAATCGCCGGCTGCCCAGAGAGGAGATTGGCTCTCGATCCGTTAGTTAACTTTATAACACAGTCACGTACTGTATAAGACCCTTCTCTATCTTACTTAAAGATTTTACACATTAAAACATCGATCCAGATTGAAAAAAAAAAAGAATGGAAGTTAAAGAAACTTCTTTTTGAAATATCTTCACGTAAATGTTGTCGACAATTAATGCGATCCAAGGAGCGATAATTACCATCAAGAGGAGGGTAATTTGCGTTGGAACCGTTCTTGGAATTATCTTAATGCATCTTAATTTCGGGGCGGTTCAGAATTAAAAGGTAGAAAGAAAGCAATTTTCGGGCACCTTCGAAAGTAAACTGAACCCGAATATTGTGAAAAGCTTCCTTCCAAGTTGAGGATTTCAATTTTAGATCACCTTTTTTGAAAACGCTCGTTAAATCCATGAATAAAAAAACGGTTTATGGATTTAAACAATGAGTTTAATAACCTCGTTCGAAATTTAGGGAGCAATTAAAAATATTTTAAGATTCAAACGTTAACCAATCTTATTTCTTTTTCTTTCGTATTTACGACATCGTAAAATTAAAATAAAAACATTAACGTTCAAACAAACAGATAATTTCCATGTATTGTGGTTATCTTCGAAGAGCAACGTTCGAAACAGGTGTATTCCTCGAGGATACGAATAAAGAATTTTCTTCCGGGACATTGTATGTAGATATCATTGTGGGACATTGTCGTTTTTTTTTTGGTGATTTACGTAACAAGAATCGAATAATCTTTGTAAGATATCTCGAATAAACTCCATTTTTGTCGTTTTATTTTTATATTCTTTGAAGAACGAGTTTATCTGTGTTCGGCTCGTGCCACTATCGAATATCGAGGTCTCCAATAAGTCAAATCTGGCGATCTGGACCAAGATCTCGCGGCGTGGACCTCACTTTCACCTATTCACTCATTGGTCGCCCTTCCCATTTGGCGGTGTTACAATTGTTAACACCTGCGAAATGGTAAAAAGAAATTCAATGGGTGTTCCCAAGAACGTAAAGGAAAAGGAAAAAAAATTGTGTCTTCCAGCCTTCAATTCGTTGTTATTTTTATTACAAAGTTCGATTATTATCTTAAGAATATAATTGACCTTTACTGAACAAAAAAATCTTCACTTACATTCCAATCCATTCTAATACCATCACTAATAAAGATCATTCTCAATAGATGATAATTAAGTTGAATTTTAATGGAAATCTATTTCTAAACGAGAAGTGGTTGGCGTGAAATTCGTTGTTAATTGGGTCAAGAAGACAGGCTCGATCTCAACACTAACAGCACACGAATATGACATCAATTGCCACCTACCTTCAGGCGGTTATCTAATTATATATTTCACGGTGTTTCAAGGTTGAATTATTATGCGCTATTAGCGTGGTACAGGTTTACAGAGCAAATAGAAAGAGAATTGAGAGAAGAGATTGCGTGTTTTGGACTCGTTTCTCTTTTATTATTTTTCTTTACGAAATAATTTTATAATTATAGTAAAATCTCCATGTAACGAACGTCGTTAGAATTGACTTCGGATATAACGGACAAAATATTTTTAAGTCATACTATTAATATTACTAAAAATGTTTATGGATAAAATCCAACTCAGGTTATTCTTCTAGTTGTTCTATTCCATGTTCATAGATAAACTCGGGGTGTTCCCCGTGTATGATGTATAAATCAAGGACGGTAGTTCTAGTTTTAATTGTTAGTCAGTACTAGATTATTGTATATTTTCATTGAAGTAAAACTAGAACTAACACTAGACCTAGAACCAGAACCATTTAAACTGTACTGCCGCTATAGTACTATTCACTAGAAAAATCACTACCACATTTAGCACTGCCACAACAAATGCATTATTTTGTCTTCTTACTGTCGTGTAAGGCGCTTATGGATTTCATTAAGGTTCGCTCTCTGATCAGTACGGTATGTTGCTTACTGTGGAATACGAAATAGTAGCACTTTTCGGTCGTCCTGTGTCTTTCTCTTACAAAGCAGATTGAACTTTTACTAGTATTTATCGCATGTTGTTCGTTCTACAGAGACATTTTGTCATTATTTCTACATTTTTGTATAAAGCACTCACCATGTTTATATATAGTCAAGTCTCCATCAAATCTACATCGAGCCAGCAAGATATTTTTATTCTATTTTAATCAATATGTATATAGATGTATACCAAAATCTCCAAGCAATCTCCAATTGCTGTTCAAGATCTCCATACAGTCGTCATTAAGTTTGTATCATATTTGCATTAGGTTTAAATCTGATAAAAACAGGTTTAATTCTGATTTTCTACATTAGACTCAGTGTAGTTCAAGCAGCGCGTCTGTAAAGAAGAGGTGAAAATGACCGACCCATTAACTGATGTTGTTGACGTTCAACACGATGGAGATAGTGTTGGTTCATCCAGTTCCCATGATGGTGAACAACATGCTCTTTGTAATTTCATCGAACAATACAAATTATCTCCATGTAGTCTTGTAGAACGTATATAAAGGTTTCGCAGGTTTCTATTACAGCTTTGCTGATAGTTGCTGGGGACATTTTGACAGAAAACTTCAAGTCTTCAAAATTTCTTCCTGTTTCCAAGTACCTCAGGGTTAAGGCTAATCTTTCGCTAACACTTATACTTCCTCTCATATTGCTATCCTGTCTTTTCAAAAATGGTTTAACCATCTGTAATAGTTTGTTTCATCTATTCGTTGTTGAAATCATCAACATCGCAGAGACTGATTTCTTTCAACAGTACTAGATGAGAATATTCATCTCTCTTCTTTAACCATTCTTTCATCCTGTGTTTGCTTTTCACTGGACGAGTAGTTTCAAGCGCCAAAATAATAGCTACACAAGCTTTTGTACGATTATCCATATTTGGAAGGGAAAAATCGGCAAATAACCCAACCCAACCCAACCCAACACAACCTAACCCAACCCAACCCAACCCAACCCTTTTCTTGGAGAAAAGGTAACTTATTGAGCAAACTTATTGACAAAAGTATTGACAATAATATTGATCATGTAAGGTAGTGAAGTATTGAGACTGCTTACCACGAGGATTGGTGGTTGTATTGTCAATGTTGATAGTATCAACACTATTGATCGTGTAAGAGCCGCTTAATGGAAAATCGTCAATATTGAAGGATTCTAGCGCCTCGCCCGCAAGCGACCTCTGCGAGGTGAAGATAAACGATTTCATATGCAAGTGTGCAAGTTTGGATTACTTTCCGAGGCATTAATGAACGATATCATATACCATCGCCGAGGTCGCTTGCGGGCGAGGTTCTAGATTTGATATATTTACAGAAAATCGTCAATATTGAAGGATTCTAGCGCCTCGCCCGCAAGCGACCTCGGCGAAGTGAAGATAAACGATTTCATATGCAAGTTTGCGCGTTTGGATTACTTTCCAAGACATTAAATGAACGATATCATCTAACATCGTCGAAGTCGCTTGAGGGCGAGACGCTAAATTTGATATATTAAGAGAAAATCGTCAATATTGAAGGATTCTAGCGCCTCGTCCGCAAGCGACCTCGGCGAAGTGAAGATAAACGATTTCATATGCAAGTGTGCACGTTTTATTTGAAACTATTACCTAGTTCTAGATCTAGTGTTAGTTCTAGTTTTAATTGTTATTCAGCGTTAGATTGTTGTATATTTTTATTGAAGTAAAAGTAGAATTCACTAATAAATTATCGAGGTTTTACTGTATTGGTCAATTTTTGTATGATTCAATAAGTTTGAGCAATACTTTTTAATAACATTTAAAACGATTTTTTTTAATTTGAAATTCAATCCAATTATTTTTTCTGTTTTACATTCCTAATGTGTGAGTAATAATAGGATACTGTGGGATTAAAACAACACAAAATACAATTATAAATCACGGTTTATTTGGATTGCAACGGAAATAAATACGAGCAGGGCCCTAAACCGTACGCGTAAATGAATTGATTTGCTTGACTTTTGCAAAACCACCATCGGTTTAAAAATAAGAATCAGTTACACTCTAAGTTTTCTCAACGGTTAAACACGCGTTTCGTGGTTATTCTTATTCTTAAATTAAATTTTTAACATCTTGTTAAAAAGGAAATATTAAAAATGGGGGATGAATTGGAACGATTTCGAAGTACAACGATGACTTTATGCTGTGGGATTATTTATAAAATGTCGAAATATCATCGAAATTCTTTCGGTCGTTTAATACAATCCAGGGTAAGTAAAATAATAATAATGCGGTCACAATACATTTTTGATAAATCGTTAGTAATTTATAAAAATCTAATCCTTGAAAGATTCCTATTTGGATACGCCATACATGGTTTCACTTTATACGATTCTTGTATTGCGTTCCTCAACATCAAACCGATTTAAATTTAAAATGAACCCAGTTCGCATTACAAATCGGAGTTTAACACGCCGAAGACAAATTTTATAACACATCGCGTCTTTCGTTGAAAAATAATCACCTCTCTTTACTTTTTTTCAAGTCTTTAGCTGTAGTACGTGACATGACCGTAATCGAACGAGTTTTTTTTTGATTCCTTTTTTTTCAACTTGTTTTTAATTAACCGAAAATTTGAGCTTTCTAATTACCATTTGAAGAACGCCGTCAGCAGGCAGCAGGTTCTTTCGATTTACGATCAATAGATATTTGATTAAAAAAAACGATCTTCTCTTAACCTATAACGGAAACTGGCGTTCCTAATTAAAAATTCACTCGAAGATTAATTATTAACTAGGACTTGGTATATAAAAATATAATATTGATAAAATTTGAAATTAATTATAATTATTATTTTGGAATGTAGTAAAAATTAAATATATAATTTAGAATTCAGTGAAATGGTGTTGTTAAACAGTTTAACTGTTGTTGGTACAGTTTGTTGTGGTATGTTAATAATCTTTCTTTTACATTTTGAGATTTATGAGAAATTTTGTCGCCCCCTCTACGATCTTATCGTCTTGTTTGTTAATCTTTTTGCATAAAATGTTAACTCTATGTGAAGTACACATATTCATTCAAAATTCATTTCTGTTTCACTGGTTCCAAGGTGATTTTGTAAGTTAATTTCATATCTTTTTCAGTTATGTCCAACATTCTCCATAGATGATTTATATCAACAAATTTGAAATAATACAGTATTACTATAATAAATTAGATTGATATCAGCATCCTTACCTTTTATACTTTTCCAGTTTGGGTACTTTGACACTTAAATGGAAAATCGGTTATCCTAAAACGATGTAAGAAAAGAACCTTAAAAATATGTGACAGTTTTTGAAACATACAAAGTTTATACTTTTCATAACAACATTAATAAAAGTATCTTGAGTAAATTCTATAACCTTAATATACAAATAATTATGAATTCTTGTTTCATCCATAATTTTGAATGAATTCAAAAGTTTTTAATCATTTTTAAAATGGTTTTCATTCTTTGGTTTGTTAGATAGATGTTAGATTTCAAGTATCAAGTTTCTAATGGCATTTTTCAATACTTACCAAGAACATATCGTAAATGGTCGATTTTATGAGCTATACACGTTCACTTTAACGAGATATGATACAACGACAGTTGGTAACATGATTTATTAATTAAGATGTGCGTGAAAAGATTTTTCTGCTTATAAATTAATGATGAGCGATAAATTTTATTTAATTCATTAATTGTTTAGTTGATAATTTAAAAAAACGGTTTTTATTTATTTCATCTTATTAAGTTTTAAAAGTTTTGATTTCAACGCGAGAATCATAAAATTTGTTATCGTCCTCATTAAACACATGAAGAAAAATGTTAAGTGAAGTCGTAAAAACGTATTGATTTATTTTTCTTCATTTCGAAAGTTTATCTCTATTTGTTTCATTAATGAATATTTATGAACATTTAAATGATCCACTTTGCATTCAATCACCAATCGAACTGTTAAACTTTATCAATTCCACGATCGCTTTTCAAGTCGATTTTTCACTGTCAGAAAACGACAAAAAGGTTCGTTATTTCGATTAAAACCGCTCGACGACGATTTATCGGGACAATTCACGATCCATAATGGTCGAGATATTGACCTTAATTTTTTTAACATTTCTTTCGTTGTCAAGATTAATAATAAATCTTTTTTTCCTCGAATTTTTTAGCATTATAGTGATGAAAACACATGTTTTTCTAAGTTTTATAATTAATTTTTGTGTTTGTTTTAATGATTAATTATGGTCCATGTGGAAACAAAGTCAAACGGTAGAACGCGGATTTGATAAATTGTGGTAGCTCAACGGAAGAATTCTGATTTATTAACACGAAAGTAGACCTCATTTTTTTATAAACGGATATCTTTTTGTTTCGAAAGAATAACATAACAGGATGTAATCAAATTCTGTTTTCTTTTACTTAACTAATTCAAATTCTTACGAAAATAACGTTATAAAAGCGTTTTCTACATCCTAAATTAATCTAAATACCACTAAATAAATCAAAATATACACCATAAAATTAACTTAAAACAAACAAATTTTCAAGCAAGTAGTAAAATGTTCGGTTTGAACTCAATGTAAACATTATACATTTTATGATCAATAAATACTTCTTAATTTAAGTTTTAAAACTCTTCTTTTGAATTGAATAAAAAAATAAAAACGCTTCTTTCGTGATGAAATTGGAAAAAGAAAAAAATATTTAACTTAATTCGATTTAAATTACTCACCTGATGTGCCGAAACTCGAAGTTTAGGTTTAAAAATTTTTAAATTACACGTGGTTTGATTTTAAAAATAAAACTCAAAGGTCTGTTTATTACTCGATCTCCTCTGAATTTAAATCGTGTTTAATCTAATGTTTAAATCGGTCATCAATCTAACTTATACAAGTTCGATTTTTTTTTGGAGTATTCTTAGCAAAAATAATTTTCTTGCAAAACTGATTTTCTTGTTGTTTATCTTGAAGATGATTTGAAAATGTATCCTCTTATGTAAATTGGAAAAGCACTTAATAATTGATCACGAATTGTGTAAATATAAACTTGAGTATGAGCCAATCACTTTTACTAAAGATGCATATGATGTTGTACATATCCCACCCTGTGACTGTCGAGTGAGTGGCACTCAATGGCATGGTTCAGCATCACTGAAGAACCAGTGTCTCGAAGACAGCAATTCTTGTACATACCGTTAGCCACGCGTGGTTTTTTTCACTATCAGTTATTCGATTCGCTTTTTCTTTTAACATTTTTTTTTTAATCAAACATTGCAATAAGATTGTTATTTAAATTACTTATCATAAAATAATTCTTAAAATATAAACATCAGTGATGTTTGCCTGTGTAATTTTTTTAAGAAAAAAATAATTGATACAAGAAGAATAAATAAATAATTATTTTGCGAATATGGATTTACCAAGAAAACTATCTAGACAAGGCAAAATTGATGATTTACAAGAGGATAATAAAGGATCGACGGATGAAGCTAAAGAAAATAATGCTAATGACCACGTTAGCTCAACCGCCTTGAAACAACACGAACGTCCAGTTGTTGACGCGATTCCTAACATTAACAGCGTTTTAAAAAACGGTGTCCATCATGAAAAGAATATAGAGAAAAATCATTTTACGCAATCGATGTCAATCATGGAGTACGAAAATTTATTAGAAAAAGAACATATCTCACAAATTCGTTTATGTTCGGCTATTATATACACAAATGTTAAATACACTAAGGAATCTTTTGGGCGGTTATTTTTATCTAAGGTAAGTTTTTCATTTTTAATTGATAAACTGAAAAAGACTATAATTGAGATTTATATAAACAATACAAAATAAGACTATTAATAGCCTCATACTAATTTGTTTACGGTTTACTTGAAACACATAAATATACTAAGGAAACATAATAGAGATTCGCTCTGCCAATAGATTTGATTATAAAGTAGCCACTCAAGGCAACAGATTCCTTTAAACCGGTTGTGGATAACAACCGAACCATTCATTCTTGCACGAATAATGATTCGTGCAAGAATGTGATTCTCACGTTAAACGTTAAAAATAAATTATTTACAATAATTAACATTTACAACAAAATTTATTACAATAGTAATAAAAAACAATACAATTAAAGAACATGCTCACATTATTTTACATCTTCATTTTCTCGGTTATTATCACATTATCAATCTTTAGTGTTCTACTAGTGAACAAATTTGTGAATTTGGACGATGTTAAAATCATGGCTTAGTTGAAATCGAGAAATTAATGCCCTGATTAATGTCGTCAGTTATCGCTTTATGGGATAGAGCTTTGGCTGAACTTGGAAACATTAATTTGGCAATGCAGTTAGTGATTGGCAGTAGATTGAAATTTGGTAGATTCAATTTTGGAGAAAATATTAAGAACTTGAGGGTTGGTTTTGATGAACATTGTGGATTTGATACACATATTGAATCCCTTCTATGGATAACTTATTGAACTATAAACTTACCTTAACTTAGTATCACAAAATTATTTTGTACAAAAACCGTCTTATCTGCATTATAATATTTATGTTCATAGTCATCTTCCGACATTAAACGCGTTTCTCTCCTGAACGGTGCATAAGACCTAACATTTCTACTTCTGTGTCTATTCAGTTCTTTACTTATTTCAATATAAATGTTGAGAACACTACATTCATGCAATTTATGTAATCATGGCCGGAAGAAGATCGGTACTGCCAATTGTGCAGAAAATATTTTACGACGGTGATTAGGAGAAGAAAGTGAAATCGATGGTAAAAGTGATCCGAATTTTACTGCCAATTTAGATGATAGCGGTAAAGAAGTTTTTTCTGAAGAATATAACCAAAGAATAAGTTTTTACTTTTCATTTTCTAACTTTATGAATATTTATATTTTGATCTGCAGTACGATCAAAATATAAACTTGAAAAATTGTGTAAGGAAACAAAATCATAAAAAAAATTGGCGCAAACCACAACAAAACGTGATACGTGGAATAGGACGCGAAATATTTTTTTAGAGATGAGATTGTCAACCACGTCGTTCAGTGCACTAATGCAATGACTTGGTAGTAACCCATATTATATAGCAATAGGGTATTATATAGTAACCCAACCCATATTACAAGGCCAGGATATCCCATGAAAATATAACTGCCTACGAACAGTTACTCATATTCCGATGAAGGCACAATCAGTATATTTCTTCTAAACCAGAAAAGTGTGGAACAAAGATTTGGACAACCTCTGACACCAGTGTGAGCACAACGAAAGACAGCGTGTTATCTTGGATATTTGAAAGGTGTTGGAAGAATTGGAGAGAAATGTGATAACTGATAAGTTTTTTATAAGCTTTAACCTAGCTAGAAACTTGGAAAAAACGATATCTTACACTGCTTGGTACAATTCGAAAAAATAATGGGAACTTGCTTGAGAATTGGTGATCCCGCGGGAAAAAAATGTGTATTCAACAAAATTTTGTTTCCAAGCTAAAGCTATGTTAGCCTTCTACTGTCCTAAAAGATGATCGTTACCTTGCTAGCAACTATGCACAATAATGTTGATATTTTCTAAAGATGAAAAGAATATTTTACAAGTAATTATTGACTATAATAGAACTAATTTTAAGTCAAGTGTAGACACTATGGGCCTGCTTCTCCGAACATATACTGGCACTAAATGGTTATGTTACATCGATTCATCTTAATAAGGATTGGAAAACTAAAAATATTATAACAGGCGAGAATCCTGTTATAACAGTTGTAGTTCCATTTGATCCAGATTGATCCCAGGTTGAATGAATTTGGCAGATGACTCACCATGAATAACTTCGTGCACTAAACGGCTAAGCGATATGCTAAATCTAAATAAAAGTGTCGAAGATCTTTCCTTCATTCAACGCTAGACCTAAGTGACAATTAGGGGATTCGTTTCTTAAATATACATATTTGCTCTACTTTGAATTGGAAGATAAGTTCTGTGGATGTTTGAACGTTTTGGTTTGTGTAGGACTTTTTATTATAATGACAAAATTGGGGTATAAAGACGAGTATTAATATTTTTTTATCAGTCATCACATGTTAATGTTTCCCTCATTGTATATGCAGGATAATCTGGGTGGTAAGCTGCATATATAGAAAAATTCATAAATTGCTTCCTAACTTGTATTACATTTTTCCACCGTTCAGTAAAACCACAATCATCCTAATGCTTTGCTTACGATTTAGGAAAATGTACGTCGGTTAAAAGTACTTTAGCAAAACATTAAAAGGTTGCAGCATCTTCCCGCTTCTGTTACCTTTCCCGCAACTGAAAATCAATCTCGTTACCTGGATATAAATCCATAAAATTGATTGATAATACTAAAATTAGATTTTGTATAACTAATGTTTCTCACAATGTACGTTGCACACCCACATCAATAACTTAGTACTTACTATTTAAGATGGTCGTTCAAAATATGCGAATTCTAAATGGTGAGCATACATATGATATTTTGCTTTGATCGGGCGAATCTTCTGAATGTGTGGTTCTAGTAAAAATAATCAATTTGCTGCAACAAAAACTCTCAAATCATATAATCTCTATAATCTCTCGCAATTCGAATATTTACTGATTAGCTAAATCTTGTGATTTGTGATCTTATGACAAAATATATTTAATTCTGTTATGGTTTGCTAAATCTACGATCTATGTTAACACTCTAGAAATAGTTACCGATCTTAAGTTAAAATTCAGCAAGTTATTGATAACCTTGATTAGACCAATTGTGAGTCTCTTATAAATTTGGAAACCACTTATCACAATGGAGCCAGGAATTAAAGCTAGTCTTATAAATAACCGTTAATTTTTATCTCAACTTTTAAAACTTTATTCTTATTACCAGTATCCATTGATTGCTTCTTGTGTTATTCTCATGGACTGTGGTCTGAATTTACACACCAGACACTATACGGGATCATACGCATTTCACCCAAGGTGGCGTTCTTCTGTAGAATCTCATTGTCATTTCGTCATATTTCGCAATAAGTTTATTTTCCTCAATGGACTTTGCTTGTGTATAGTAAGTAATCTGCCTAAAAGCAGATAGGTAATTGCCAATTTTTATAACTTATCAAGCAGATAGCTTACCTAATGAATATCACTCACCAAATAATCGAGAAAACCTAACATAGATGAAAATAAACTCACATAACTAACATAAATGATAATGATTCTACATGCAACACATCAAGTTACAAATTATATGCTATGAGTTTACCTACTTTATCTACCTAACCTATTTTTTGGTGGGGTTGGATTGAGTTGAGTTGAACTTTGAAATTATTAACTTTTGTCAACGGAATGCACACCAGTATTCGAATCCCAACTACCTCACCTCTTCACACTTTGTCACATCTAATCATAACCCTCCTAAAGAGTACTATAATCTAATTTAGGATCCAGCCATGTCAAAATAACAGAAATCACCACTACCTTTTGAAAAAGGCACAGACCTTATTTATATCCAAACTGAAATATTACAAGATATCGCAAGATATATCACAAGACAATGATCAATAGAAAATTCAAGTTTTCTATTGAAAAGTCATATCAGTTATCCTTAGGGATGTGTATCAAGGTTGCTGCTTCAATGCGTTGCAGTAGTTAACTATTTTTTCGTTGTACCTCCAGCCAGAGAACAATACGTTGGTGTGGTAGTGGTATGGTGAAGTAATATTGGGTGGCATAGAGATGGCAGAAAGTTGGTTTGAAACCTTGGAATGGTGATAAAATACTTTTGATACTTGTTTGATTTTAATTGAACTGTATATTTTGCTATTAGTTTACTAAAGCACGTAGCGATACACTGAATAAAGGGGGTATACTCCTCATTCTCTTAATTGATGATTCTATTCTTTCTCCTGAGACTAGATCGTATTATATAAAAAACGAGGAATTACGTAATTACGAATAATTCAAAAATAGAATTATTTTGAAAAGATTTTAAATCAAACATCAATACGAATTTAAAAATTGAAATTGTAATTATGTCATTATCCAATTCCGTTACACCGGTTTTCTCTTTCAACTTCTATTTACCGTTGGCATGAATGAATGGATCGTCGGACTCGACCAATTTACAGATCTCGGTGGGCGTCGAAATCCTGTAGATTCAACACCAGTTGTTCACAATCCGTCCCGTTAGATCTTCCATAATTTATCGAGCCGTGTACTTGATATTTCGTAACCAAAACAAATCCCAGCCCGAAGACGTCTCGTTTCAATAAACAGGATTAAGGATGATGCTGGCAACGTTTAAACCTGTCCATGTAAATTGTAATTGAATCAAACCGTCCTTGTCGAGACGTATTTCTTCTTCATTCATGAATAACAAATCGACGCTGAAATTTCTCCTTAATACATAATATAGATGCACGTGTAGCGTTTATAAAACTGGTTCTTTTTATTTACTTCAAAGATGTTTTCTTTTCTTTGGATTCTTATCAGTTTAAAATCGGATTTTCCTCACGCTGCTTGATGTGAATCGGAGACAGCTTTTACAAAAAATAAACGGTGATTTCGTGCTTTTCAAGATTTCTTCTTCTTCGGCTTCTTCGTGTGGTAAGAATTTCCTTCAATTATTTTAATTGGAAGTCGGGTGTACGCAAAAATTCTCATTTCTCGAATATCGCCAGCGTTGAAAACGTCGTGGTACTTTGATACATGTCCAACTCCTTGAAATCCAATTAACCACTACCGTCTCAGGCGTCCCTGGA